TGGCTCCTTGGTGAGGCCTTTAGCGTCCCTAAGCCAAGTCTCGTCTTCTGTAGAATGGGTTAATACCGCTGGGGACACGGGACTGCCGCAAAGGGTAGAGTCAGTGCGCTGTAATGCAAACATGAGGCTGGATTTTAGGGCATCTGGAAATGGCAGTTTTAAGTGTTAGGTATTTGTTTATTCATTCATCTCCCAGTGTGACCCTTGGGTGGGGCCGGTGGCTTATGCCCCCCTCCCAGCACTAGAGCATTAATTAGGCACCCAGGAATGTTTCTTAAAGGGGAGCCATGGGCCAACCTTGTCATTTTACAAATGAGGAGACCAGTTTTAATAGGCCAACAGTGTTGTCTTCGTGTAAAACACAGCCAGTATTCTCTTGGCTGTTAATCATTTCTTTGGGAAATATCAGTGGGGCACTTTCTAATCTTCATTGCCAGGCTCTGCCCGAGGCACTGGCCAATCACAGTTAACTGGTTAGCAGAGGGTACAGATTTAGCTCACTCACAGTTTGCATGAGGGCGGACTAAAAGCTAGAATGCATTTAGCAAAGGTTTAGCGAGTGCCTATAACGTGCCGAGCGTCGTGCTGGGTGTGCAGATGTGGGCGCAGGGGCTGTGGTGCGGGTGAGCAGGAAGTGCTGCTCTGGGGAGCACCGTTTAGGTTGGGACCTGAAGGACGAGCGGGAGTTGGGCGGCGAAGCTGGAGGGGGCAACGCAAAGCCTTCCTACTTCTAGACCTCTCTGACCTGCGTGGCTTCGTGGCCCAGCTTTGCTCTGCAAACCTCTGCATTCATCGCTCTGCCAGACTTTCCTCCTCGCATTTTAATTACCTGCCTTTATATTGTTCCTGATTGCCTATGTCTTCCCAATAAAACAGGAAGCACCAAGTTTATTCGTTTTTCCTGCCATGTACTTCACATCAAGCCTCTTTAATTCTCCCCCTCACCCCCATCTTCTGTGGACATATTGGTGGACACTTCACCCCCATCTTTGGGGGCCACTTCCGTGCCCCACCCGTAGCCCCTTGGAGCTCACCACTCCCAGAGCCTTTTCCTGCACGGAGCTGTGACTCGGGCCTTGCTCCCGCCAGGCGTGCTGGGAGGCTTAACATCCCTGCCTCCCTCCTAGAAGCCCCCAACCAGCGACTGACCGGCCCTCAGAGGGCTCAGCCTGCTCGGGGGTGCTCTCCTGCAGTCCCCAGCAGATTTGAATCCCAGTTGCCCATCACAATAACCTCTTCATTAACATACCCCCGGATTGACCGCCTTCCCTCCCTCATCTCTCTCTACACCTTCCAGGGCTTCCTGAGATCACTTCCCAAATAAACCACTTGAATTCAGATCCTCCGGACCTGCTTCTGAAGATCCAAACTTAGACAGAGGGTGGTCTGGTGGTCTTAGTAAATCATACCACACCTCCCTTTTCACCTCAGAATGAAAATTCTAGGCAGCAATGAAAAGGGGAGGAAGCGTGCAGATTCTGAGGGGAAAGGAGAGCCGTCGAGACCAGAAAGAGAATGGAGAGCTGGACTGCGCTGCCCTGGCTTCTCCCATGTCTTACTCGGCCTTCAAGTGAACAGGTTGGCAAGATAGTCTTCCCATCCCTGTTCCTACAGATGAAGAAACCAAGCCCAGAGGGATTAGGTAGCCTGCCCCAGTCCATGGGTCCGGCGACAGCGTAGCTGAACTCCTGTCCAAGTTTCTTCCTCGCACAGTAGCTCTCAAACCATCTGGAGGTCGGGTAAAGTGCCTGGTGTCAGGATGGTCTGTGCAGGTCAGAGTGAAATCCGGACATTAGATTCAAAATAGCTAAGTGTGTAATTTTTTGCTAAGTCAAATGCTAGAATCTGATCTACAGATACAAGAGACAGCTGGGGTCAGGGAGCTCAGAAGCATTAATGGAAGAACAACTTGAGAAAAACCTGTCCACCAACTTTCCTCCAATTAGGGGCCCAGAGCAGAAGGCTGGTTTGATGGTGGAGGAACTTTGTGACGGTGACAGGGTGGCGGGGAGGCGGGAGGGCGGGGGGGGGGGGGTGCGGCGGTGGCTACCCTACAGTGCAGTCTCCAGCTGCCTCCCCTGGTCATGCTTAAGGGTCAGCATGCATGACCTGCCTTCATCCCTCTACCCCCAGGCTTCAGAGCCTTTAATGTTGTCCTGTAGAGAGAGAAGGGCAGGCACTAACCAAGCCACTGTACATCTACTCATTCCTCAATAGAAGCCCCTTCCTCCAGGAAGGCTTCCCTGACCACTGCTACACGCGCATACGCTGCACAGCATCCTGAACCCTATGCACTGCGGCCTGGCGTGACGCTTCATCGAAATGTGCTTCCTTGTCTATGTGTCTCACACTCGGAGCAGGCCATGCCTTGTTCATCTTTGTATCCGTAGAACAGACCCCAACATACAGCTCATGTTTCATAAATATATGAATGGATGAATGTTTCAGACTTTGTGCTTGTTCTTAGAAATACAAAGATTTTTTTAAAGATTTTATTTGTTTATTTTTAGAGAGAGGGGAAGAAAGAGAGAAAGAGGGGGAGAGAAACATTAATGTGGGCTTGCCTCTCACGTGCCCCCTATTGGGAGCCTGGCCCGAAACCCAGGCATGTGCCCTGACTGGGAATCCAAGCAGCGACCCTTTTTGGTTTGCAGGCCGGCGCTCAATCCACTGAGCCACACCTGCCAGGGCAGACTTTTTTTTTTAATGAGTTCTTATTCTCAAGAACTGGTGATCTAGTGAGGGACTAGATAGCTGAGTAAGGAAATAATAAATTGTAGAAAAGTGGCCTGTTTTTGGTGCTGTCATGGGGGCCTTCCATAGGAGTGGGGGCTTTGGTAGTAACTTGATTTTAAATTAATAGCAGATGGGGGCAGGCAGAGCATATATAGAGGCACAGGGTATTACACAGAATGATCCATTCTGAGAATTACAAAGGAACTCTAAACGCTGGAATGTATTTCTAGATTATGAACCTAGAAAAATGTGCTGGGCTCTGACATGAAAGCTTGGAGCTTCATGCTATTCAGTATAGACTTTAGGCTAAATATTTGAGGCCACCAGTGAAGGGCTCTAATTGAGAGAATGGCGCCATTGTTTGAGAAAGATCGAGAAGATTGCCCAGCAACACCGCCGGAGGCAGCACCGGCCCTGCGGGTCCCTCTCTCCCTCACGTCCTGTCAGAGCCTGGGGCACGGTGTACTGCTCACAAACACGAGCGCCTTTTCAGTGCAGAGGGCGGGGTGTATATTAGGCTTCTCCAGAGACACAGAACGAGCAGGAGACAGGTAGAGGTTTCTTATAAGGAACCGTCTCATGCAGCTGGGTATTACAGAGGCTGCAAAGTCCCACCTGAGATCCGCAGTCCAGGGGCCTGAGAACCAGGGCAGCCCAAGGGGCAGGTTCCAGGCCAAGGTGTGCAGGCAGGGGGAGACCCAGGCCCAGCGCGAACCAGTTCCCCCCTCATAGCCTTCTGTTCTGATCAGGCCCTGGGCCCGGTGTGACCTGCCCACGCAGGGGAAGGCCGGCTGCATCGCTCAGGCCTGCCGATTCCGGTGTTATTCGCACCCTGAACCGCCCCTGCAGACACAGCCCAGACACCCAGAGTGGCGTTTTGCCAGTGGCGTGGACGGCTCTCAACCCAGTCTAGTTGACACATAAAATTCCCCACCACAGAGGGGAGAGGATGGCTGTGGAGCTGGAAGAATTGTAGAACAGGTCAGTGGGAGGTGGAAAGAGGCTGGGAAGGCAAGTTACTGAGCCTATCTCACGACTCCCAGGATTTCTCCTTCCTGGCCATTGTCACATTGTCCTGACCAGTGGAATCTCATGTAGCATTTACTGCTTGCTGGGTAGCTATCCAGAGATCGCTTTCATGAGACTAAGAAAACTAGTCTTCCTGTAGCTACCTTTTTCTCCCTCCATTGTTTTTCTCTGAACACAGCAGCTGGAGTGGTTTTTTTAAACTTAGGTGGAGATTCTGTCACTTCTATGATCAGAACCCTCGAGGGGCTCCTCAGCACATTCAAAGTCAAAGCCAAAGTTCTTGTGGTGACTTAGAAAGCCCTGCATGCCCTCATCTTTTGCCCCCTTCCCCCCCACACTGTGTTTCTGCCCTGTACGCCTTGCTGTCCCTCACAATAGACATGCTGTTTCCGGCCCCCAGAACATGCCCCAGACCCCCCAGGGCTGACCGCCTCACTTCGTTCAAGCCCCCGCTCAGCGACCGCCACCGCTGCGAGGCCTTCCCTGACCACTGCGTTCAGACCTTGAACACCCATCCCGGGCTCCCTGTCCTCCCCTTTACCCTGCTGAAGTTTTCTGCATAGCACTCATCAATTTTCACAGATCCTATTATTTACCGTTCTTTTATGTGTGATTGTCTGTTTCCTCCCACAAACAGGTACATTCCATGAGGGTAAGGTACCCTGTCTGCCTTGTTTACTGCTTTCTCCCCTAAAACGACCACAGCCCAGTCCATACTTACTGATGAATAGACGAGCACACCCGTTGACATTACACTTTTAGGTAAAACTGGCTTCCGTGTGCTTTCTGTAAATGTAAAAGAGGGGGAAGGAAGGTTCATTTGCCTTTTACGTAAAGTCACGGCTTGGTAAACGCCCCACTGAGTCCTTAGCATTCCTTTGCGACCGGAAGCGTCATGATACCGTAGACCTTGTATGACATCTGAGAGATGGGTACACTTGCCATTGTTACCCTAGTGTTGGCCGATTGTTAGCAGGCGGGCGCCGGAGGAAGAGTGTTGTGAAAAGTATTCACGGTTTTCCCTTTTCTTCTTTGCTAAAAAAATGTGGTGCTGAATTACTTCAGGGCACCTGCACGGTGGGTAAACGGAAAAATCAATTGTGAAGACGAGTCATTTGAGTAGCAGTAGATTCCTGTTTCAAGCTGAATATGTGTGTCCTTTACGTGCATGAAGAGTCGGTAGACTTGACGGTGAACGAGCGGTGATGGGGGAACACTCTTTTTTGTCCTTGAAGGTGTTTCGTGGGACTCCCTTCCAGATGAGCTTCTCCTGGGCATCTTCTCCTGTCTCTGCCTCCCTGACCTCCTCAAAGTCTCCAGCATTTGTAAGAGGTGGTATCACCTAGCGTAAGTATTTCTCATCCCATTTGGCATGTAGGGGAGGAGGGTTATTTATTTATCCATTTGGGTCTGATGAAGCCAAAACCCAAGAAAAGTATAGCAGCACAAAGCAAACTAAGGATCTTCATCTTTCTCTTACTCCTTAGTGGCTTATTTCACGGGAGGAGCCTCCGGGAGGTGAAAACTCACCCGTTTCTGAGAAGCTCTTTTCCCTGGTTCCGTTTAGCACAGGCTCATTGGGCCCGGTCGTGAAGGGTATTACAGAGGAGGCACGCTGGGCCCCGCCCCCCCACCCCCCGCTGGGGGCATGGGCAGGGAGTGCGGGGGCGGGGGGGCGGGGAGGGAACGAGGGGCCCTGGTATTAGAACGAGTGCAGCCCAGCCCCCGCCACCGTGGCTCTGTGTGGCCCTTGTGAGGTACTTGACATTTCCGAGCCCCATCCCCGCTGTCGATAGAACAGGAATAATGGCGTCTTCGGGACAGGACAGCCGTGAGGATGCAGTGCCCCGATGCCACCTGTGCAGGGCCCCGCCCCGCACGTGCGCAGCGCGTGGCAGCCAAGCGCTGTTGGGTTGTGTTGGTTTTGGGGACGACGCCTTTCAGGTGTGGAGAGCAAGCTGCACGTGGAAAGGCTCGGTGAGCTGCAAAGGCAGTAACAGGCCAGAAGCGCGGAAAAGACCGTTTTTCCAGTCTGGACGGTTTTCCCATCCCCATCCCATCCAGCCCCTGGCCGTCTACCCTCTCCTCCTCCCGCATTTCAGGGACTCTCATTGTGAGACGGGGGGGAGCCCCTTCCTTCCCGTTCAGGGGTGTGCCGGAAACAAGACCCCCTCAGCATCCACAGGGTCGCTCATCCGACCCAAGTGACCCCATCTTAGTTTCCTGTCTCCGCCAGCTGTCCTCACCGTGCAGAGTCTGTTACTCTTTATCTCAGTTGTCATAAAAGTAGTAACAGACATGTGTCATAAAAGTAGTAACAGACATGTATTAAGTGCTTGTTAAGCATCCTGCCTTCTTAACAACAGAGGTCAGATAGCACATTGGCCATTTCTTTACGCCGGGTTCCTTCACAGCCCTCGCCAGTGGTCTGCTTACGTCAAGCCATGTTAAAAAAAATAAAATTCTGGTAGGCATTGAAAATGTTCCCTCATTGCTAGGTCTCTTTGTTTTTTGCTAAATTGAACTAATCTGTGGTTGGTAAAGCTCCCTTATTGTGTGTTCAGTATTGGTCCTTCTTTTTGCTTTAGAAGCACTATCCAAAGTCTAAGCAATATATTCCCCTTTTCCTTTCCCATTAGTTCATATACGTCCATATACTTCTTTCTATGCATGTGTGCGTATGTGTATTCAAGCTTGAAGGGTGTTATAAAACAGAGTTGAACTATAACTTTTTTACTACTAGATATCCAAGACATATCCTACAATAACGTAGTGTCAGCATTCTTACTTTAGGTTATATTTGCATGTCATTTAGGGCAATCATTTAGGGTGACCTGCTTATGCTCAGCAGAAATGACAAGGGGATCCATTTTGAATATACTTACCTAGTCAGAAATCCATTAAACAATTCGAGCAGTTATTTTTAAAGTTATCGAATTGAATGGAATGCTGGACGTTTCGTCTCTGAGCCCAGATCCTGGCCTTGCTAATGATGGCATGGAACCACCTGCATTAGAGATCTGCAGAAGGAGGAACCGGGGGGCTTATCCATGCCAGAGCCAAGATAGATTCGATAGTGCCTTTAAACCGTCACGGCCGTCTCATAGCCAACTGAGAAACAAAGGTGTCTTCAGCGTTTGCTTCCCGGGTCAGTGGCCACGTCCGCCTTGTTAGTAACCGCGTGGAGAGCCTCCAGGGCCCCGTCCCCCCACTCACGTGCCGAGCCCCCTCTCTTCCAGGTTTGACGAGTCCCTCTGGCAGACCTTAGACCTCACGGGGAAAAATCTGCACCCAGATGTGATTGGGCGGCTGCTGTCTCGAGGGGTGGTCGCCTTCTGCTGCCCGCGATCGTTTGTGGACCAACAGCCATTAGTTGAACATTTCAGGTAAGAAAGAAAAATTCTGGGAAAAGGCTCTTTCTGCGTCTTGAGGTGGAAAGCAGATCCAAACATGTTATTTCCCCTTTTGCCCAGCCTGGTACAGCCTGTGACAGACGGAGTGGGCGTCCGTGCAGTGAGGGGTGGGAATTCCACCTTTTGTTGTGTGGTCCGTGGTGTCAGTGACCCCCCGCATTTAACTCAGGGAGGCTGTCGGGCTCCTGCCTGGGTCAGGGGTGCACCCTGCTGTCCCCCTGCGCCCACATCAAAGGAGGAAAAGAGCATGTGCAGAGTCTTCCATTTGGGAGCCCTGGCTTTCCGATCCTGTCTTGGACAAATTTGCCACAGGAAGAAGGGTCCTCTTTTTGTTTGTTTGGTAGAATAGTTTGAAAAACTACTTCCCTGTTACTGGTAGTTTTAGAACAGGGCCTAGTGCTTTCTCATGCAACACTTGACTAGAATCACTACAGACCGATCAGAAAAATAAGCTGCAGACAGAAGAAGGGAGGACGAGGCGAGTGGAGTAGTTGTCCCCTTCTCTCCATGGTCGGGGTGGCACTCCTGTCCCGACGGTTTCTGTCCTCCTGCCCTGGCTTTTCTGGTCTCCCCCACGTTTCCTTTGTTCGCTCCAGGGTGTGCCCCTAGCTGCCTCTTTCTCGACCCACACACTGTCCTCGGACATGCTGTGCCCTGTGCACCCACATTTACGCCGGGACCCTCCAGTCCTCATCTGTAGCTCAGCTCTTTCCTTCAAACAAACTCCCACTTCCAGTCACCCAGAAACTTCTGCACCTAAATTTCCCCCAGGCCCCTCAAGACCGGCCTGCCTAACAAAACTCAGCCCCCTCTTTACAACCTCGTCTGCCGTGATCTTCCTTGTGTGAGTAAAATGCCACTGTCGGCCGCCCCCATCCTCACCGGAGGTCGTCACCGGTGTGAGCTCGTCACCCACACCCAGCGCGTTCTCACCACGCCCACTGATTAATTTCTAAGGGGGACTATTTTTGCAATGATGTCTTGACTTGGCAAAAATTCTCTTGAGTTCTAAAATGCATGGTGATGAGAACTAGCTAGGAGCAGTTTGTTGTATGGCAAAAACTGTAGGGACAACTTGAAATGTGCATTTAGTGTCTAGTTGGTGATTGGCTGCTCATGTGGAGCGAAGGTGGGCCAGGTGCGACCTTTATGGTCCGGGGGCCACCTTGCAGAGCCTCTTTTTCTCTCCTGGGTTCAGCTCCTTCCGTGTGCAGCACATGGACCTGTCGAACTCGGTCATCGATGTGGGGACCCTCCACAGCCTGCTGTCCCCGTGCTCCAAGCTGCAGAATCTGAGCCTGGAAGGCCTACAGCTTTCAGATCCCATTGTCAAGTAAGTGAGGGACCACCAGGAGCACATCACGAAGGCAGTCGTTCCGACGTGCGTTCATTTTGTGTGCTGCGTATGACTGGGTGCCCTGCTGTCCATACCCAGGTGGGCTCAGAAAATTCCCAGCGCAGTGCCTCGCTTCCGAAAAACTTTCCAGGACTCACCTAGGCAACCAAAGTGTGCATGCTCGCTGCATGCCGGCCTTGTGCCGGGCGCTGGAGCTGCACAGTGAACTCAGGCACGGTCCCCGCCTCGTGCTGGGAGGCGCAGATGGCTCCAGTGCCGCGCGTTGTTTGTTGTGTCACTGACTCCGTGGCGCACACAGCGAGACCTGATTCAATGTGCGGAGGGCCACCTTCTTGGAGGAGGCGACTTGGGCTTGGTATTGCAGGTAGGGCGGAGGAAGCAGCCTAGGTAAAGCTGCCTGTGGTTCTAAACTGGTAAGGAATTGGGGGCTGCGGGGGCACAGGGCTCAGCGACGGGAGTGACAGCAGGTGAGGACCGTTGGGGCTCACGGTGGGCCCCGCCACGCTGGGAGTAGTCCGGGCTCCACCGCAGGCTACAGAGGGAAAAGCAAGGTCGGGTAGGACTTGGTTGTGTTCATTCAGGTGAGAGATGATGAAGCCCGATGTCAAAAAATAGAATGATGATGATGATGATGATAGCAGTTAATATTTATTGAGCGCCTACTGTGTGCCAGATACTCAGTTCTTTAAAGGTTGCCTCGTTTAATTTTCACAATAATCCGAGAGAATATGTTCTTACTGTCCCCATTTTACAGATGTGGAAACTGAGGCACAGGCCGAATAACTTGTCCAAGGTCACACAGTTTGTGGGTGACAGAACCAAGATTTGGACCTGGCAGGGATGATTACAGAGCTCTTGCTTTTAACCACTAAGTTTCACGAACATGAGACATTTGGGGATATAGAAGGGAGGGCAAATTCAAGAGACATTTAATTGAAAGAGCCCAATAACTTCCTAAGTAGGAGTTTGCCTACAAGTTAATTCCAATTACGTGTGAAATGGAAATATGTTTATTCTATTGCTTTTTTTTTTTTAAGTATATTGAGGAATGTTTCTTGCATATTTACTCCAGGCCAGGCACTGTGTGAAGCCCTTTATTACATTGTATCATTTAGTTTTAACAGCCATACTAAGAAGGTGCTGATACAGCCATTGCGCAGATAAGTAGACTATGGCAGAGAGAGCATCCTGCTAGATCTCGTACACAGAGTGAGATGTGAGTTCATTTATTTCATTTTAATTTAAATCAAATGTATTGGGGTGACATTGGTTAATAAAAATGATACAGGTTTCAGGTGTACAATTCTGTGATACATGATGTGTGCATTGCACTGTGTGTTCCCCACATGAAGTCAGATCTCCTCCGTGAGATGTGAATCTAAGCTCACTTCAGACTCGAAGGCCTGCTGTCCCTTTACTGCCTCACTAGCCCGCTGTCCTCAGAATGCTGGTTGACTGAGTGAGTCTCTTACTGTTATCCTTTCAACATTTTTCTCTTTTCCCAGTAATCTTGCACAGAACTCAGATTTGGTGCGACTAAACCTTTCCGGGTGTTCTGGATTCTCTGACTCTGCCCTGAAGACTTTGCTGAGTAGCTGTTCCAGGTAGGAGAGATTTAAGACTTGACTATAGAGGTGTCATTCAACTGTACAATTATCGCTCACATCTGAACAGCATTGGATAATGCAGTATCCTTTGCCCTCTAAAGTTTCTGTCCCAACTCAGAAGCCAAATCCAAGGAGTTTGCAAAGGACTGTGTAGTGGCAACCAAACTTTTTTGTTATCTGTTTTTGTTTCTCTTTTAAAAAGGAAAATGTATCAACAGTATGGTTGAAAGAAATCTGTTTTCACTTGACTATACAAGTCAGGTTTTTTCCCCTTTAATATCTGTAGACATAACAGTTTTTGATTAAATTTTGTGCATTTGAAATATACACCATGAATTTAGGTGATTCCATTAAAAACATCTTTTATATTGTGTTAATAATGTCAGAATATAAATAAAGGCTACAGAAGGTACAGACACTACTGAGAGGAGACACGCTTCACAAAATACACAGTGCCGCGCGTGCATTCTTTTTAATGTCCCTTGGCCTCTGCATGTGTCTCATGGCATTGCACCTCTGTCTCCTGTTGACAGTCAGTTGCCTTTGGACAAGAATGTTATCCATAAGATAAAATATAAGCCCTACGTTTTCTCAGGAGTGCCAGGAATGGGGTGTGTGGGTTAATGGTTGGACCTTTTCTCTGAATGCCTCATTTGCCCAGAGTCCAAATAAGATGAGGCAGTTTTGTTGTTTTTTGTTTTGTGGGGTTTTTTTTTTTGCCATGTCAGTGTCTCTTTATCAAGAATCAATTGTGTAAAACATCTGAGATGATTGTTCCATCTGTGTAGTTGTTTGCTAACAACCAGGGTGGTTGAGAAAGAAAAGAGGCTGGAATTTCTACTTCTTGTTCTGGAATGAGATTTGAGCCAGCAGGGAGGGAGGAGGGTGCTCCCCTTCGTTTCCACAAGGGGGCAGCATTCACTCAGGCCTTGGCTCAGACCCTCCCCCGCCCTCCTCCCCCCCCTGCCCCGCCCCTTTCTGGGGCAAAGTGGAGCAGGGGAGTGTGTCACGGGGAAGGTGGGAAGTGGGGGACAGTTGTGGGTGGGCAGAGGTGGCTGCTGAGAGAAGCAGAGGTTCTGTGCATGGACTGGTAAGGAGTCCATGGCTCTGTATTCGCCTTGGAGCCAGCAGCGGTGCTGCCTACGGACTCGCTCCTGGGTGACGGTTTCATGTTTCCTTGTTGCCCCTCTGGTGTGCAGATTGGCAGAGCTGAACCTCTCCTGGTGCTCTGACTTCACTGAAAAGCACGTGCAAGTGGCCGTCGCGCACGTGTCGGAGACAGTCACCCAGCTGAATCTCAGTGGCTACCGAAAGAACTTCCAGAGAGCAGGTGAGAGCCCCGGCCGCCGGCCCTGGACAGTAGTGGGTTTGCTCTACGGAGCATCTCCCAGGCCGGTCCTACCTAAGTCGTCTCAGTTAATCCAGTGTCTGCACTTTCTGGGTCCAGTAAAGGCAAACAGCCAGCATTGAGATTTGAATCCAGGGTCTAGAAGTGGAAACCTTTATACTTTCACACTATTTATTTATTCATTCATTCATTTATTTATTTATTTATTTATTTATTTATTTTAATCCTCACCTAAGGATATGTGTACTGATTTGAGAGAGGAGAGAAACATACACTGTTTGCCTCCTCTACACGCCCCAAGCAGGGATCGAACCCGCCACCTTTTTGGTGTACGGGACCATGCTCCAACCAACTGAACTACCCAACCAGGGCCAAACAATTTATTTTTTAAGCAAAAGAATTCTTATCATCAACTAGATTTTTAGGTAAAACTCCAACATGAAAATAGATACATGCAGTGCTTTGTTAGTATTAAGCAGTGGCTTCAGCCAGGGGTAATTTATCCTGCCAGGGGACACCGGCCAGGTCTGGACGCATTTTTGATGGTCTCGGCTGTGGGGGCACTTCTGCATGTCATACGTAGTGAATAGAAGTCAGGAATGTGCAGAGCAGCAGAGTAACACAAAGGAAATGATCTGGCCCAAAGTGCCACTTGTGCCAAGGTTGAAAACCCCTGTTATAAACTGTCCGTAAGTCCACACCTACAACTTTACCTTTGGAATTCAGCCTGAGGACAGGAGGTTGTCCAGACGTGTGACTCAGGGGCAATGCATGACGGTTACAGTCTTCATGAGCCTCAACTTTCAGTTGGGTTTGCTTGTCTAAACAAGGAGAAAATCCTGATTTGCAAAGATCATTTGCAAATGGCAAGGTTTTTTTTAACAGCTTCACCTTGCGATCTCAGGCTGTGAGCCATACAGAACCCAGTGAAGCTAACTTACTTCACCCCTGTCTTGGTGTTTCAGTGATGCTGATAGTGCATCTAAGTGCTTTGCTATTAATAGTTTTTATTATACTTTTAAAGATTTGAGTCACAGATTTGCAGGATATACTTGCCTAGATATTAAGCGGTATTTGCAAACTACTATCCCAGGACGTGATGCATCCTCTGGTAAGTAGGATATATCAGAATGTAAAAAATAAGAGCTAGGTTCTCATGAGCAGCCCGAATTTGAGTCCTTTTCCCGTGCTTGTGTCCAGGTGCCTGCGATTTCAGGCAGTGGGAACGTTGTCTTTAGAGATTTGTAAAAGCAGCAGGGACATCTTTCTTTCCACTCACTCCCCTGCACAAACCATATTTCTATTGTGCATATTTTCCCTTTAAACACTGTTTTAAATCTGACTACAGCATTTATATAGTCATTCTCAAAATATGGATAAACACCAAAACAAACCATCAGTTATCTCACCAACACATTTTTCCTGTACGAGAGTAGTATTTATTTATTTATAGAGAAAGGAGAAGTGAGGGAGAAAGGGAGGGAAAGAAACGTCTATGTGAGAGAGTAAACCCATTGGTTGCCTTTATTATGCTCCCCAACCAGGGACCAAACTCTCAACCCGAGCACTTGTGCTGACCGGGAATCGAACCAGCGACCTTTTGCTTTGTGGGAAGACACCCAACCAACTGAGCTACACCAGTCAGGACAAGAGTGTTTTTTTTAAGTGAGATACAGTGTATCAAATACTTTGTCATGCTGCTTTTTTTTTCCCCAGATAACCCACACTTTTCAGTAGCTACACCACACCATTTTCAGTGGCTGTATGATGTTCTGCACAATGGATATGGAATCCTTTGTATTGATTTGATAATAATATACTCAGTTGATCTCCTTGTAATGGATGTTTAGAATCTCCAGTTTTTTTCCTTTTGTAAACAGCTTTGTCATGGACAGAGACACTCATTGAGTGTACTTCTAAGGATGGATTCTTAAAAGTGAAATTGCTTAGTTAAGGATTAGGTTTTGTTCTCAAGTTTTGGATAATTCTTGTCAAATTGCACCCTGAGGATTTTAAACTCCAGTCGGCAAGCGCCCTGTTCACCTTGAATCCTGTGCTCACTGAATCCCACCCCTGGTCCTTCCTGTTCGTCCCCAGGAAAGCAAAAGGCAGTGCCCTGTCTACATTTCCTTCTCATGTCTGCATTTCCCATCTCTTAATGGAGAATTTTTCTGAAATTAACCAAGTGCAAGTTCAAAAAACTCTGCTGTAGGCAAACTACTGTTAATTTTGTTCAAGCTTGGCTTAACACTTTCTCTTTGTCCCTCTGGAGAAGAATGGCTGGCCTGTGTGCTGAGTTTTGGCAGGAATAATAGGTAATAAAATCCTGCTTGCTGGACGCATTCAGGGCCATGGCAAAGATGCAGAATATTGAAGTGTTAGTTTCCTGAATTATACAATGGGAATCAGATTTTTTAATTACTGTCCTAACAATAGCACACCATTTCATTATACGGAAGATGCAGATTTTATTTTAGCTCCCAGACTGGTACCAGATTGCCTGGGTTCAGTACCCACTCTGCCACCTCCTGGTATCCTTAAACAAGGCACTTCTCTATTCCTCTGCATAGTCATCAGTAAAATGGAGGTACTAGTAGAATCCCCCCCCCCACCCCAGAGTCATAGCAAGGAACAAACAAGTTAATCCACGTGCGGCATGATGAACCGTTCTCAGTACATGGTGAAAACTCAGTCACTCTTGGCTGGTGTGGCCACCCCCACCCACGTACCACGGCCCCCCTCCCATCCCCTTTAGTAGATTAGTGCCAGAGAGGGCCTTGGTGGATCTGGCTTTTTGTCTTGGATTTGACCTTGACCGAAATTATCTCCTGTAAAGTGACAGATCAGATCAGGGGGTTTCTCAGGTCCCCTCCACCTCAGGTTGAACATCCAGCTTGTGGCGCAGCGAAGGGGACAGTGAAAGGGAATCTCGGCAGTGACTCCTGTTCACGGACCCTCCGCACCGAGGGGGATGGGGCTTGAACCGGGGCTGGAGACGGAGACTGCCCAGCGTTATCCCCCAAGGTCCCCTTGTTTCGTAGGTGGTGCCAAAGCAAGATTGCATCTGTGTTTGGATTTCATTGGTGGCTGGTGGGCCAGCTCAATGATGAGTCACTCAAAATCGTATTGTGCACGTTCTTCATTTTTCTTAGTCATTCATTAAACAAATGTTTACTGAGCATGCACAAAGCCCTGTTCCAGACTTGGGAGGCATGGCCTTGAACTCAACAAATGAAGTCATCCTTGCAAGCATATATTCTACCAGGAGAGCCAGGCAATCAGCAAAGAAATGAACATTGTGAAAGAAGATGAAAATGTAAGAGGGCAAGAAAGCTGAGAAATCAGGTAGATACAGCAGGAAGGGGCTGTTTTTAGATGGATGATCAAAGAGACGGGTGCTCTGTGGAAGTGATACTTGAGGGCAGGGACCTGAAGGAGTGAGCTGTGCAGATAATGCAAGTGAGGGGAGAACATTCTAGAACTATGGACCAGCAAGGGTAGACCTTTGCTATTGGAGCCAGTGTGTAATAAGGAGTAAGGAAGGCAGCGATAGGAGATGAGACAACGAAGGGCTCTACAAGCCAAGGCAAAAGTTTTGTTCAGATTTTTTTTCTGAGGCAGGAAACCAGTATGTTGAGCACAAAATATGGTATGGCTCACATTTTAAGTCTCGTTCTGGTGCTGTGATAAGAGAAGGCTATAGGAGACTAGAGTGGTAACATTCAAGGCACTAAGAAATGATCAGAACCATGACCTGTGTGGCTCAGTTGGTTGAGTGTTGTTTGAAAGGCCGCCGGTTCGATTCCCAGTCAGGGCACATGCCTGGGTTGCAGGTTTTGTCCCCAGTCAAGGTGTCTACGAGGGGCAACCAATGGATGTTTCTCTCACACATCAAAGTTTCTCTCACTCTCTTTCTCCCTCTCTTCCCCTTCTCTAAAAATAAATAAATAAATTCTTTGGCGAGGGCGGGGAAAGAAGAAGGAAATTAATCATGCTTGGACCCTGGTCAGTGTGGTTTAGTTGGTTGGAGCATCATCCCATAAACAAAAGGTCATGGGTTCACTTCCTAGTCAGGGCACATGCCTGGGTTGTGGGCAGGTCTCAAGTAGGGGGCATGGGAGAAGCAGCCACACATTGATGTTTCTCTCCCTCTTTCTCCCTCCCTTCCCCTCTCTAAATAAATAAAGTCTTTAAAAAATAAATAAGTATATAAAATACAAAGTATAGTATAGTAAATACATAAACCATATCATTATCAAGTATTACATACTGTGCATAATTGTATGAGCTCTACTTACATACAGCCGGCAACGCAGTAGGTCTGTTCACACCAACACCACCGCAAACACGTGAGCAACCTGTTTCATGTTGACATTTACGACTGTGTCACTGATAGGAGATTATCACCCCATTATAATCTATGGAACCTTGACTGTGTTTGCAGTCTGTCTTGGAAACATTATGTGGCGCATGACTGGGGATGGTGGTGTTTGGTTTTGCTTTTTGCTATTGTGAATGGCTTTTTTCCCCCCAGTTTTTGCTGATACATAGATAAGCTATGGATTATTGTTAACCACTCACGTTGCACAGTTCTTACTATTTCTAATAGTTTTCAAGGGCTTCACTTGGATTTTTAGGATAGAAAAATTTCAAATGCCAAGGGGGTACTATTGCTTTCCTTTCTAATAGCGTGCGATCGACCGCACTGGCCTGAGCGTCTAGGGCCGCGGTAAAGGGTAACGCGGAAAGCAGATGTCTTTGTCGTTCCTTTATACTGACCATCACTTTTTTTTCCCCCTAGATCTCTCTACCTTAATTAGAAGATGCCCCAGTCTTGTCCACCTAGACTTAAGGTATTTTTTCATTTATTTATTTTAGGAAAAAAAGTAGAAAATCATGATTACCCCTTGAACGAGGAAAGGGTCCTCACGGGTTGAAGTGAAGGACTCGGCAGCAGGCGGTTCCTCCCTCTGAGCTGGAAAGGATGGCAGGTTCTGAACCTTCTCTTCTGCTCTGTTCCAGTGACAGCGTCATGCTGAACCACGACTGCTTTCCAGAGTTTCACCAGCTCGCCTACCTCCAACACCTGTCGCTCAGTCGCTGCTATGATATCATACCTGAAACTTTACTGTACGTATTCCTGGTTTTTTTAAAGCTGGTAGAAGGCAGGGATCACAAGAGATGTCACCGGGTGTTAAATCCTCTCGTATGAATGGCAGGTGTTTAAATGTTAAACGTCGATATTAGTGTACCACTGGCTGCTTAGGAAAGACCAGCAAGACAGAAAAACCAAGGCAACATGTTTTGCTTTTTTAAAATGCCTGGTGACAGGGAGTGGGCTGAAACTAAGCAGCTCCCTTTCCCTGGTTCTCTGAGAGCAGGCGGCAGTATTTGCGTACTACACTGGCGTCAGCGGCGGGCTTGCCGCAGAGCAAGGTGGCCTTCACATCCAGGGAGCTCGGGGCGTGATTGGAGCTGCAGACCCGGGGTGGTGTTTTATGTGTATTTCCCCCCCCCCAAAGTGTTCAGATCAACACCTGATTCCAAAAGCCTTTATCTGGGCTCAGAGGAAAATTTCCGTAATTGCCTAATGACGTCTGTCCTGGATGGTCCAGGAATCAGAAGAATGGAAATATTTAAGTGGTGAATATTGTAAGAGTCTGATGCTCTCTTTGAACAAGGGGGAAACTGAGATCCAAAGGAAGAAAGTAGCTTAACCTAAAGCTGTGTGGCGAGTTGATGGCTAAGCTGGGTCTGTAGCCATGGTCTCCCGGACAGATGCCACATGGTCTGTGTCCAGTCAGGTGGCTTTTGCAAGGGCTTGTTTTATACTGGTGGCTCAGCCCCTTCCATGCAGCCAAGGGAGTACAAAGGAAAAGGGAAGCTGGTCCGTCTTTGTTAGGAAGTGCTGTACCCAAGTCACCCTGGGGATAATATTATCTCTTGATTTATTCTTTTGTTGTTATTTTTATCCTTCCCTAATGACACTGATTTTTAAAAAGGTTCCCTTTCATCCCAAAGGACTGGATAAGTCTTTCTCATATCACATGTAAATGTAGAGCAGATTTATTGAAAACCACAGGAAGCCAGTGTCTTGGACTTGGACAGTGGTCCTTTCTCACTCCAGCCAGCGAGCCTCGCATGAGGCCGCTGACCTCATGTAGCTCTCTGTCCAAATAAAAGTAATTAAGCTTCTGGCTTCTACCCAAGATGGGTGGTAATTTGAACAAAGAGTTTATATAGTCCTCAGATTACTGGTTTGGACCTTGTAGGGGAGTTTCCAGAGTGAATGAATAAATCTGATACTTCATCTACACAGGGTTAACTAGTAGAATTCGGGAGTCCAATATTTTTAATTACTTACTTCAATTAATCGTGGGGCTCAGGGCCTGAGCTGGCATCTCATTTGGAAAAGCATTGCCTATACGGGAAGCCAGTATTTACTTCCACGGCTCTTAGATGTTAGGGTCTACATTCATATACATTGGGACTCTTACTAGGATCTCCTGGCCCTTCTAGCACCCAGAACGCCCGAGAGTATCCATCTAGTGTCTCCCCAAAAAGGTTTCGCGGTCATTGGTTCTCTCGGTCCTTGCCGCCCGGGCTCCCGCGTCATCGCCTGCGCAGCCCCCTAGGGAACGCAGAGATGGTTCTTTTTTGGTTGCTTTTCTCCAGAGAATCCGTGCATGTCTGTTATTTTTGCTCTTTCTCTGCAGAGAGAAGGAAGCTAGGCAGGTGATCCCCCCACGCTCCTGCTTGAGCGGAGCCTAAGGGGAGGCCGTGAGCCCTCGCATTTCGTTGTTTTTATCCGGTGGGGTGACACCACTTGCTGGTGACACCTGCTGGCTACACAGAGGGAAGAACCGTCTACACCATCTACACGGAGGGTGAAGGGCATGAGTCCAAAGTCACACCTGCGTGTGAAGCCCCACTGCGTTGTTCTGACTTATTCATCTAAATCTTATATCGAAATAAGAGAAACAGGGGCATCCATTTAATTTGAACAAAGAGTTTATATAGTCCTCAGATTACTGGTTTGGACCTTGTAGGGTTTCTAAGTCAGACCACCAGAACAGAGAACAGGAAGAAGAAAAAAAGATGCCATCCTTGAACTTGAAGGTGAAGAGTATGTTTCTTTAGGCACACAGGCTTACCTCCTGCAGCCAGGAAGATGAGTTTGCCAGTACTCTATCCTTAAAAGTTTCTCAAGAGAAAATGTCTTTCCCTCCAGCCTGAGCCCTTCCCAGCAGTTTGAATGCACAGTGACTATCCTGGGACCCTCCGCAGTAATTTCCAGGGAGCTATTATATGCCAAAGAACTTTTATTTCTTATCACGGAAGTGGGGAAGTAAAATGTGAGTGTCTTCCTTCTGTGATGATAATGCTTTAAAATGCTTGGAAAACTGTAGATTTTCTTCCTCAAGACCTGCTTTCATTGTGTTTATTCCATTATTCCTTAATTGGCCTGATTCCCTACATCTAAATTTTCTTCTAACTATTCTGTATTTCTCATTGAGGAAACTCAAACTGGAGGTAGTAAACTGATCTGCGATTACACAAGGCTAAATAAAAACTCTTGTGGTAGGAGAGCTTTGTAGTGGAGAGATTTAAGGTTTTATAAGGAAAACAGGATTCTGTAGCTGAGGTAATGCGTAAGCCCCTGAAAGCTTTTTCATAAGCCCACGTGTCTTTTGTTTATTTACTAAAACCAACCAAAAATCCTGGAGACATTCTTAATGTTATGTTCTACTTATACTAGACATAGTGGCTCTATAGTATTCATTTCTATTTACTATTGCTTAGTTTGCTTTTCAGTCTCTTCCGTTATATTTTTAAAGAGATGCTTATAAATGTGTAGGTGATACCCACACTGAGGCTTTTTTTTTTTTTAATCTCCTTAAAAATCTAAAGCCTTTCTGGTTTTTCGGCTTAGGAATGGCCCTTCGTCCTTGATTACATCTTATACAGCTCACTCCCCCTCCCCTAGGACACCGAGTGCTCCTAAGAGTCTGGTCCAGTTTCCTTCCTCACCAAGCTCCTTGCCAATGTGGCCCTAAGGACGCTTCCTCCTCTGCCCTTGGCTATATCTCTCCTTCTCCCACCTGTAGTTTCTTCTTTTAACTACCGTCCACTGCAGAATGACTTATAATCTGGCTAATTTGCATATCCCAGAACCAAACTCCACTGGTGTTACAAAGTTCTTTTATACCCAGATTCCACACACCCGGGATGGGGTGAGATTGCTGCATTCTTTAGTGATAAATATAACCGTCTGTGTGTGGTGACCCTTCTTTATACTCCTGTTTCTATGTTCCAGAGATTAGTTTAAGAACAACAGTTTGTTCCTTTTGCTTCTCTTTTAGGTCTATTGTAACCACCATATCTTATTGTTCACTTATGAGCACCAGGCATGTTTATTTTATTTGCATAGTACTTGTAGTTTCTAACTCCCCTTTGTGTTTTATTTAGCTAACATGCATTAAATTTCTTTGGTGTTTAAGACACCTTGCTGAATGCAGGATAAATACACTCAGAGGAGTGGTGGAAAGACCAGACGAGCAGGCGCGGCATGGAGGCTCTTAAGACAAACTGAACAGTCTGAGGTCCATAAATACGAGGGAAGCACCAAAGGTTTTGGAGGAGGGGAGTGACGTAGTCTGAGGCAGGCTTTCCGAAGACGCCTTGGACATTGGTATTTAGACTGGGCTGGAAGGAAGAAAAATTGAAGGCAAGGTGACAGTTATTCTAAGACAGGTTTGTCTTTGACGTAACTACTAGTACTGTGAAAAGATAAAACATGCTTCTAACTCTAGGTCATTGATATGTCCATGGATTTGCAGTGGGATTTTATTGAAATGCCAAACCAAATATTCACTCTCTGAGACTTTGTACTGTGTGTCCCAATCCAGAGCAAATACAGATCAGAGAGATGAAATTTCTAAGCACACAGATCAGAGTTAAGAAGCAAGAATCGTTACCAGAAAGTATTTACTTTGGGTAAACGAGCTCCCCTTTTTTTATGAGCCAAAATTTCACGGTTGACAGAGTTACATTCCAGTGAACACCTAAGAAGATCAGCTCATGTGTGATGGAAAGAGATGACAGTATATAGAGAGGTAGATGGCTTCTGGGTCCCCGGAAGCTGGGCCTCCCCTGCACCCAACTACGTAGCCCGCAGGTGCACTGTCTTGGTGAAGTCACCCTTAGGGTTCATCACATGTAATGGGCGTGTGGACTATTAGCCGTTATTAAGAAGTTGCCAACCCTGCCGACATCTTTTGAGATGAGGAGCCTAAGATCGAGTCCATATCCTTTAATTGCACATAACCTTTGGTGATTTCCAGCTGATGCCACAGTAAAACCTGTACTTCTACCATGACCAGCTTGCCAGCTGGTCCTCACCGCACAGTACCACCTTCCAGTACAAATCAAGAATGGAGATTAAAAATCAGTTCGCACTTTAGAGAGTATGATGCAAATTATCAAACTTGGGTCACGTAACTCTAGTGGAGCGGTTTCCATAGAAATTGCCGCTCTGAAAGTCTCTCTCTTCCTTTCCAGTGAACTTGGAGAAATCCCCACACTGAAAACACTACAAGTGTTTGGAATCGTGCCAGACGCTACCCTTCCGCTGTTAAAAGAAGCCCTTCCTCACATCCAGATTAACGGTTCCCATTTTACCACCATTGCCAGGCCTACCGTTGGCACCAAAAGCCACCCGGAGATATGGGGCATCCGGTGCCGACTGACGCTGCAGAAGCCCAGTTGTCTGTGAAGGATACGTTGCAAAATGGCGTCTCCTTTCTGCATGGGATCAGGGAAAATACATGGGAGCCCGATTGCTGGAGCACTCAGCTGTTTTTATTCTTGGTTTTCCCTCCGCCTTCATTCTACAAGTACACTAGAGAAGCGTTTGCGAGAGAAAACGAAGCATTTCTGTTTTCTTAATGACTGTACAAGCTTCCGTCACCCCCATGCTCCTGAGGATCTAGCCGGGGGCCTTAGAAACGTCAGCGTGAGCCAGTAGTCTTGAGATCCCTCCAGAGCCAGATCTGAGTCATCTCTGCCAAGTGCCCTTCTTATTAATCTGTTTAGAAATAAGCTTAAAAAGCAGCAGTAAGCACATCGTTTGCTTGATTTCTATGGTACCTTAACTTTATTTAATTTTCCAATGTCGCTTTCTGAGACATAGACTGGAAGAATGACAAGCTATTCATATTGGGAACTGAACACAAAGAATCTTAGGATAGTCTAATTGAGGCAATCAGTCTGGGGATAGAAAAAGAAAAACACGTGTCAAACCTGCCTTTGGATTTGCAGTTCGGTTCAAGAAAACAAACAGTCCTGGGTCATTCACCTTCAAACCTAAATTTCAAAAAACCAACCAACCGGAGATACAGAATCTGAAGGGTCGGGGGGCAGTTTTCTGCGGCAGGTCAAGCTGACTGTGCCCTAATGCACATTAATGAAGTGCCCTTTAATGTACTGTGCTCCCAGAGTACTAACGTAGCTGAGGAGGTAAGATTGTGTTCTACCAACTTTATAATCAAATGGTGTTAATGTGGGTTCTTTAGCTTTTAAAATGCCTTGCTTTGTTTTAGAAAGGTGGTAGGAACCAGTCTGTATTGCAGTGTTGGAGGGAATGCTGAAGTTGCCTGCGATTTGCCTTTATTGCTGAGGTTCTTGAAGTTATTTTTCTATTACTCTGGAATCAAGTCTTTCAAATTGTCTTTTTTTTTTTTTTTTTTTTTAGTGTTTCCCTCGGTCTCCGTTTTAAACTACCCACTTTATAAGGTTACTGGACCTAACGCTCCTTAGGAGGCATTGCATGCTCCTCTCAGTCAGAAAGATATCCACTAGAAGCAGGTGTGTGTCACGTGGTGTCAGAGCAGTAAGCTCAACTTGCACCTGCAGGAAAGTTAAGACTCAGGTGTTGAACCTTTTTATAGCATCAGTGATGATTTTTTTTTTTAACGATACATAGAAGCAAATGGCTTAAATTCTACTTACAAAACGACCAAACACAATTTGTTACTTAAATTGATGATCTCCCCATATGTTCAAAATGGAAAAGAAGAGCCAAACAAAACCCATCGTTTCTAATAACATTGGTTTTTTAAATCAGATTTTTCAAACGTTAAAAAGAGTGGCAAGAAGTACCCTTATCTGCCTAAATCTGAGGAAGACCATTTTAAAATAGTTATACCAGAAATGATTATGTTTCAATTTTGTGGTGTTTAAAAGGTGCTAAATACTACTTGAGATTATTGTTTACAGATTAGTGACAAGGGCTGGGGACAGGATCGGTTGGACTCCAACTTCCAGGTGCCCTCAGACATGTACTTCCAAACTCAAGACCAGCCAAAAGCTATTTTGCTAACATTTCAGAGTAATCTGTATTTTTGTATGTGATTTCTACTTTTATAAACTTGTTTTAAAATAAAACACAATTTTATAAAAATGAGTACTTCTGCTCTGTTGTATTTCTTTTTTCTTTCTCCTCCTCGAGTGCTGTAGTTAAGATTGGCGGGCATTTGGTGGGGGTGCCATGTGTCTCGGCCCCCTAAGGGAGGAAGGCCCTTCAAAATGATCCCGAGCCCCAGCGTGGCCGTGTTGCCCCATCTAAGTCATAGGATTCTTCTCAAATTAAAATGATAGTTTGTAATACCTCCTACCAAGGTGCTAAATACAGGCTTATTTATCTTTAAAGTGCTTTAAAAATAGCATTTATAAAACTTAGGAAATCTGAGCAATTGATGGGGTTAGTGAAGTGCTATCAAGAAAAGTCAGCTACTAGCACTTGTTAAATTGCAGACTTGACTCCATCAGCTTATACAGTGTATTTTATTCTCATTAGGAAACTGAATCGTTCACCCTGTACCCAGAAGTCTCCCAGGAATTCAGTTCCTTTTTAGCCCACCTGTTCAGATAGGAGGGTGATTCTTGAGTTTTACCATTTTTATAATTTCTTTTTTCTCATCGTCACTACTATGCTTCCTTTTCTGTTTTTAATTATGAAAAGCATTAAATAAATGCAAAAAGCAGCGAATATGGTGGATCTCATTATCCACTTGCAACAATCGTTAATTAACTCACAGCCAGTCTCCATGATCTCATGAATCCCTTCCGCAAGCGCCCCTGACACATTATTTTGAAGTAAAACCCAGATCTATGACTTCCTAAGTATTTCAGTACATACCTCCAAGAATAAAAGATTCTCCTGGGTTAATTCTGAAACATTAAATGTCAAGTTGTTTCAAGTGTTTTCTTACATGGGTTTGTTTTGATCAGGTTCCAGCCATGGTCCACATGCATTGACGGACATTCTCTCTTGTTAAATGAAGGCTTAATTGGCCTAAACATTATATTAGTTTCAGTTGTACAACATAATGATCACAGTAAGACTAGTTAACATTTGTCACCATACTTAAGGGTTTTTTGATGAGAACTTTTGAAATCTGCTCTTAGAAACACTCACATAGGCAGTACAGTATTATTAACCAGAGTGGCCCTACTGTACACAACATCCCCATGACTTGTAGCTGCAAGTTTATAGCTTTCGACTCGTTATACATTCTACCCACCCACCCCCACGCCCCAAGCCTCTGGCAATCACCAATCTGTTGTCTGCGCTGAGCTTGGGATTTTTGTTTTAAAAGATCCTACATATAAGTGGGGTGATGACATGGTGTTTGGGGTTTATTTTGACCATTTCATTAGCATAATGCCCTCAAGGTCCATCCATGTCATTGCAAATGGTAAGATTTTATTTTTTATGGCAGAATAATATTCCCACTTCTGTCTCTGTGTGTATACACAACAGGAACACTGACCTGAAAAGATATGCACCCCGTGTTCATTGTAGCATCATTTACCATAACCAAGATACGGCAACAACTTATGGTAAATGTCCATTGATGGATGAATGGATAAACAAAAGGTGGTATAAGTATCCTCTACCCATTTTTAATTTTTTTTAAAGATTTTTTTTAGAGAGGAAGAAAGAGAAGGAAAGAAACATCAATGTGTGGTTGCCTCTCCTGTACCCCTTACTGGGGACCTGGCCTGCAACCCAGACCTGTGCCCTGACAGTGAATCAAACCAGTGACTTTTTGGATCACAGGCTGGCACTCAATCCACTGAGCCACACCAGCCAGGGCTACCCATTTTTTAACTGGATTTTTTTTTTTTTTTTTTTTTTTGCTATTGAATTGTATTTCTCCACATATTTTGCATATTAACCCCTTATCAGATATGTGATTTGCAAATATTTTCTCCTATTCAGAAGGCTGCCTTTTCATTCTGTAGATGGTTTCCTTTGTTGTGCAGAAGTTTGTTAGTTTGATGTAGTCCCACTTGTTTTTTCTTTTGTTTACTTTGTTTTTGGTGTCAAACTCAAAAAACATCCTCACCATGACAGATGTTAAGGAATTTGACTTTTTTTTTTAGGAGTTTTATGGTTTCAGGTCTAACATTCAAGTCTTTTTAATTTGTTTTAATTTTTGTGTGTAAGATTGTAGTCCAGTTTCTTTTGCATGTTCTAATTTCCCCAACAGCATTTATCAAAGGCTGTCCTTTCACTATTGTATATTCTTGGCAACTTTCTCATAAATTAATTGATCATATCATATGCACATGGGTTTATTTCTGGGCTCCCTATTCTGTTCACACTGATCTATGTGTCTGTTTTGCCAATACCTTACTGTTTTTATTACTCGAGTGTTGTAATATAGTTTGAAATCAGGGAGCATGATGTCTCCAGCTGTTCTTTCTCAAGATTTTGTATCCTGCAACTTTACTAAACCCATTTATTCTAACAGTTTTTTAGTGAGGTCTCTGAGGCTTTTTAAATGTCACCTACAAATAGTGAGTTTTACTTCTTCCTTTCCAATTTGAATGCCTTTTCTTTTTCTTACCTAACTGCTCTAGCTACAACTGATTGACATTCTCAACTCTAATCTTTGAGTTCCCCTCCCTTTCTTTTTTCTTGCAATTTATTGCAGAAACTACGTTCTTTGCTCCACGTTCTGTGTTCTGGATTTTGCTGACATAATCCCTGGAGTGACACTTAGCAGGTTAATCTGGCTCCTATTTCCAAAAATTGGCAATTAGATCTAGCAGCAAACAGCTCTAGATCAAGGATGATTTTGCACCCCAGGAGACATTTTTAATACCTGAAGACATTTTTGGTTGTCAAAGGTGGAGAGGTGTTATTGGCATCTAGTGGGTAGAGGCTAAAGACGCTGGTAACCGTCCTACAATAAACAGGACAGCTTCCCACAACAAAGATGGATCTGACCCAAAATGTCAGTGGTGCAGCACTGAGAAACCCTGATCTACAGACTTACCAAGTTCTTCTTTTCTTTTTTAAGGAGAAGATACTTAATAGGTAATATTATATTCTTCCATGAAGAGACATAACATGTGTCTCTGGCCCTCGATTCCTCCTGCTATACCCTAGCCACAAGCTGCAGTGATGAGGGACACTCTGACCAAGTGCAAAATCTTTATCTCTGAATAAAGTGACAACACCTTCTATCCTGGTGAACTTAACTGCAATCGCACATTTACTCAGGAGCTACAAGGCAGAGGATACTGCATTTTGAATAATCACACAGGAGAAGGTACAGAGCACGTAAGGACAGGTACCAGTTTTGAAGACGTGGGAAACTAGAACCCCTTTCCACTGGATACCCTGATCCTGAACAAGCAAAAAGGCAACCCCCTCTTCTATTACCACTGCTCTCCCATGATTTGATTTACTGGGACCATAAATACAAACACATAATGGGGCATCAAAAATAATATGTCAAAATTATCTGAAGAGTCTCTACAGCTACAAGGTAATATAAGCACTTTATTCCCTGATTATATAACAAACCAAATTCTGTCAGAGATTAGCAGTGAATGAAGTCAGGAGGGCAAAGAATAATACCTAGCAGTGGGGAAAAGGCTTTTGAAACATAACATTTTAGGAAAACCAGGTTTTCAAATAATGACCCTGTAAGAGTTAATAAATGACACAAAAAAGGAGAGATAATAACAGCTTAATTTTATTCACATTTTGTTGCCATTAGAAGTTAATTCATAAAAACATTTTTGCTATTCCAACATCCTTTGCCTCTCAGCATCTCTTACAAATAAATCCCCACTACACAGTAGAAATACTAGTAGTTATATTGCAAATGGAGCACATTAAACATTTTTTAAACCTTTACAATATGGCTTATGAACAATTTTACACAGAAGTTACCTATTAATATGTTACATATTAACAGATCTATAATACCATATGAACAATCAGATTTCCTTGATATTGAAGATGGAGTTGGCATTTTTGTCAAGAAGGCATTTTAAACCTAGTAGGGGAGTTTCTGTAGTGCGCAATTTCACTTTATAAAGTAAGTCTCAAGTATATTATTTTTAAATCAAACCAGAAACTAGAACTAGTTCTGGGAAAAACACTAATTTTTACTGTATGCATCATGTAAACTCTTTGCTAATGAATGTCTATACAGATACATTTAACTGAAGAAAAACAGATTCTTGTTCTGGATATACATCAAAAACTAGATTACTTTTGTGTAGTAACATTTATATAGAAAATTTGAGAGGAACATGTTAAATGCTAGCAAAACTAAGAGCACTCAATTTGATTATACATCCTAGCTTTTATAGAATTTACTTCTGAGCTCACTTGACTCATATTCTAGCAGGATGGTGTCTGTCTCATTCATCAATGTACATCCAGCAATTGATCCAGTGCATGGCACAGAATGGATATTCAATATATTAATATTTCAATGACTGAATAAAAGTTCTTAAATAGCAAGTGAAAAAATATAACTTTAAGTGGCACATGACTACCAATGGTCTGATGATGCAGCAACAGGTGCCTTTTGTGAAAATTCTAGGATTACATATAAGTAGATCAAGAATTAGATAAAAATAATGTCCTCCAAAAACAAAGAAACTCTCATGGAGGAGCAGGCAGAGAAAAACCGTAAGATTTTATCCTCCAAAGCTAATGTGTGAAACTTGGAATATGAGCTAGTTGAAAACTACCATGATATTAAAAATAGATAATACTTTTTAAAAGTTTGACCAAACTCCAAGTGGAGTATGTCTAATCAGTGCATCCTTTTAGTCTTTGAATCCATGTTAAGAGTTTTAAATAAAACTTGTCTATGATCTAAAATAGCTATGGCATAATGACATATTTGTAACAGCATCCTGATTTCATCCAGTTATATGTACTTCAATTAACCCGGCATTGTCAAAATTAACCTGCAAGTCAAATAAAACTATAAATTTCAAAAATGATTGTTTGAACTTCTTAAATCGGTAGTCATACTAGCCTCGGTGTGTTCTGAAATTAGAAAATTTGTAGCACATATAAAACACATGTACCTATTTCAATTAGGTCAATGTCAGGACTTATCAAAATTCTCCATCATCAAAAGTTTTTTTAAATCTTGATTTTTAGGTGCTATAAAAAATATACACTAGTCAAATGATTTGTGTTGGTTCTGACCAATTTCACAAAGTTAGGAGAAAAGGGGAGGAAATAAAAGTTGTACAGTTAAATTACAAATCCTAGACATTTAATCCTTTATTTGAACTTATCTCTCTAAATCTAGAAAGGTATCAGCACTCTTGGATACCAATCATAAGTAATATAGAAATTTCACTGGTGTCAATTCTAAACAGTTCAGTCCACCCATCTCCTTCCCCAGTGAACACCTTCTCCGTCAGACTCCAACAGAAGGATAATACAAATCTCAGTTTCTTAGTCACCTTTGCGCCCAGGGCCACCCAGTCTCAACAACAACCAAAAAATGTGGCTTTATGACCAGTAGTCTGTTTCTGCAGTTAAAGTAATTTTCTGGTAATCAAATTTGTCACTGGAGGGATCCTTCACTGTTCTAGAAGCACAGTTCGAAGCTCGTCTTCTTTATTGATCATCATTGAAGCAATCGCTCCATCATTAAACTCAAAAGAAGTTCCTCCATCCACAACCATACAGGCATCCCAACAACGAGAACGGACACAAACCCTAAGCAGAAAGCAATATCTCATTAAATAAGTTCCTTTCAAAGCCTGAATTTTTATTCTAAAGTGTCAGATGTGGAAGGGAAAAGAGGTGAATCCTACTCTGAAGGTTTACTGCTTCACAATTTAAGTTTTATATAAATGTTTATCCTGCTTTTATTCCACAACATATGAAAAAAGTTGCTTTTCAGTCAGTTTCTTTTAAAATGATAATTTGATCTTACTGTATTCTAAATGCATTACAAAAAAATCCACATCACCCAATTAAGTAACTATGCCCCTTCTATTTTTCTAAATTTTAGTTTCTCTAAAATGGCACATTAGGTTTGAAAGAAAACATTTTAGCCAGGTTAGCATGACATCTCATTAGTTCCACAGGTTCTCCTCCCACCAGCATTAGTGTCAACGAAATTGAATACTTTTAAAATTAAGTGTGCTCTGTAATTACAAGGAATGAAACCATCAGCCTTTGGAAGCTTACTTTGAGGTGAAACAACGTTGGCGGCTGCTTGAGAAAACTCTGTTTGCTATTGGTTCTCGAATACTGAAAAGTATTTTTGGTTCTTCTGGACTATAAAGCAGTGATTCATTATATTCGTTTGTTACTGTGAAGAAAGGAAAACAAATATTAGCACATTTAATAATAGATGGCCACTTGAAAAGTACAAAATGAAACATGAATGCTATCCCCAACTTAAAAACAGTCTGTTCCAAAGGTCTGTTTGGTATCAAGTACCTTGGAACTCACTTCCATTTAAAAAATAAAAAATCTTATAAATCAGGATTAAGTTCCAACATTAATCCACAGGAGCCTACATCACTCACAATACAGAAGAAATAGGCACATTTTGGGGAAAAAAAATAATTCAAAGGTAGTAACAAACAAAATCCGGGGAACTACTTTATGGCACTCAAAAATGGAATCTGAGTTGCCATGGACCCCTGTCCTGTCAAAGAGTACATCAGTATAATTATAAATTAACAGATTTGATACAACCTGCAACCTCAAACAATGACAGGCAACAAGACTTCACTACTGAAAATGCCATTATTCAAGGTAGCTTTAGAGATCATTGGGAGCTGCTTTCTCTTTAACCAAGAAGCACAGGAGATGAGACTTGGGAGACAAAGCACAAGCTGGTTCTAGTCAACTGTACTTGAAACAATGCCTGAAAGAACACTTAGTTGAGTTGCACACTAAAAGACATTATAAGACCGTCAGATAATCTACCTTAGTTTCCAAAGCTTTATTTGAATTATTGGGTTCTTTTTTAAAAATCTAATTCATTTTCAAAAACAAGACTTTACCTCTCTGGGAACCTCTCTGGGAAGACACACAAAGGATGTGCTAGCTCAAGACAGTGCTCCCAGGAGCATGGCGCACCTGCAGCTCTAGCACTCACCACGGCTTCTGAAGACAGTCAAGTCTTCAAAGGAACAACATTTGTTCAGCGAAGCCATTTGTTTATTAAGGGGAAAAATCAATCACTTTCTTTACTATGTACCCTTGAATTAATTTACAAACCTGATATAAATTTCAGCTGGTCTATATACATTATGTTTTAAGTAAATTACATAATGAAGACTCAATTACCATGAGTGCCTAATTTTCCCTTCTTTCATATAGATTTAATGCTAATACTACTTCATAATCCATGATTAAAACACTCTTGTAGGTCTCAAACTGAGAGGAAGAGAACAGAGTACCTTTTAGAGAAATTAAGGAACTTCAGAAATTTAGACCTGTTTTCAAACTCTTTTAAAGGCAAACCATCACCCCAATAAAGGCATTCTTGTGTAGAAATCCAAATATACAGATATATGAATTGACACTGTTAAAACACTGCATTAAGTATTTCTAAATTACTGCAAAATCCTTTTGAAAACAACCAACAAGAATGAAATTATTCTGGTAAGCCTCAAATTTAAGTGTTTGTATTTATAGATGGATGACAGTTTTAACCTTAACATGGGTTGACCACTTTGTGTCTACATTTTATTTTGGTTGCCTCTCTGAACAAATCCTTACAAAGGTAGGCAGATGCAACCATAAGCAAGTTACGGTTTTTTGCTGGTTTTTAAAAAAATAAAACCTTCATATGAAGGATGCTCTTCAATTTAACAAAGACAGTAAGAAAAGCTTTAGTTTGAGGTCTGCACAGCAAGGATCCTGGTAGTGAGTGGACTTTAGTGTGTTAAAATTTCATATGCAAATCAAATGAATGTGTTTTCAGAATTTAAGAATTTAAAATTTTTTTTTTTAATAAAATGTAAAGAACAAATTTGAAGACTCCCCATGTACCAGTGACTTACTTTTCCTCCCTGGTTTCACAGCAGAGGAAGTAGAAGAATGGAGAATCCCACACAGCCTTGACCATAGTTTCACAGTGAGTCCCTGCTTGGTCTGGGACTGGAACCCAGATGTTCAAATTCCCTGATCAGTATCCTTTCTCCCAACAGGACTAGTTACTCTGAAGTAATTGGGAAGGAGTAGGTAGGAGAAGGTCAAACAGAACATTTTAGTGAACGCAATCATAAAGCATTCACAGCTCAGTGAATTTCTCTTCATTCAGAGTATATTAACCACACACTGAATTTAGGTGTGCATTTTCCATTTGCCAGATACATATTTTTCTATATTTTCCTCCCCAGCATATATTTGCAGTTATGCTGTTTCTGACACAGAGGTTATATTTCATGAGTGACACAAACACATAACATAACATAACAAAAACTTTAAAAGCCCAGTTTTAAAGTTTTTATTGCTTTAACATATTTGAAGGGATAGTAAAAGTATGTTGGAGTAAAAACAAAAAGTACTGTCCTGTTGCTAATCAGACAAGAACATGTCACAATAACATCTTAAAATTGATACAGAACTTAAATGAAACCCTTAGCAATCTTGATTACTTGTCACTGACCTTTCTCTACCAGTTCTCTGTTCAACGGAAGACTTAAATTCCCTTGCCGTTTTGCTATTGAAAAAGGAAAGGGGGAAAATATCTTGATTAAAATGTTTCAAATAATACCTAATGTCATAAAGATATACACTATAGATAGCATATCACAATTATAATATGTAAATAGCTATTTTGGTACTCACCAATATTTAAAACATCTTCCACAGCCTGAGTTGCAACCCTGTTAATATTGAATGACCTAGAAACAAACACCACATAAATTCTTTGTTTTAATTCTAAAAACATACTAAAAATAAAAAAGGAATAATCTAATACACAAAAAACTCATAAATTATCAAGAAAAAACAACCAAAAGACAATAGCCACCTCACCCAGTTTTAAAAAGTAGGCAAAATATATGGACAAACAGTTCACAGGTTGCTATGAAAAAATTGTTCAGTCTTACACTTAAAGCAATACAAATTAAAACAAGCATTTTTCAGATATGTAAGAATTAAAAACTGATAAATAGTATACTAGCATTAGGTATGGGAAAAGAAGTATTCTCATACATTGGAGGGATTATAGAAGTTGCAAAGAGTAATTCTGAATTCTACACTATTAAAATTTAAAATGTACATATTCAGAAAACAGGACTTTTGGTCAAGATGGAAGCATAGGTAAACATGACTCGCCTCCTTGCCCAACCACATCAATATTACAACTAAACTATAAAACACCATCACTCAGAACCAACAGAAGTCAAGTTGAATGGGAGTCTGACAACTACAGAATTAAAGAAACCACATCCACTCAGACTGGCAGTAGGGCAGACACACAGAATGGGCTGGTCCCACATCCACATGTAGTAGATAAAAATATGGGATGGACATCTCAGGAGTGAGGAGTTCCAGCCCCACACCAGGCCCCCAGCCCACGGTTCCAGTGCCAGGAAGATAGGTCCCCATAATTTCTGGCTGCAAAAACCAGTGGGGATTGAGTCAGCAGAAAAAATTTTTGGAGTCCCAAGCAGTTCCTCTTAAAAAACCCACATACACACTTACTCAAACTCACTCCTTCTGAGCTCCAGCACCAGAGTAGCAGCTTGAAAGGCACCAGTGGCATAGGGGAGAAACTTTAGTGTCTGGCATCAAGGCAAGAGCTGGGGGACAGCTTTCCCCCAGACAGATAGGCAGGCAGAGGCCACTGTCCCTTTTCTGAACCCTCCACCCACACAACCACAGAACCAGCAGGCAGGTACCATATCTGAGACTCCATCAGCCTGGCTAACACTGTTTGCCCCGTCCTGGACATCCCAAGACTCTGTCCTTCCCAACTTGCAGGCCCATCCAAACTGCTGACAGTGACTTTTCCATACAAATGGCTGGTCTTCGGTCATGTTTCACAACTTCCTCAATCCTCTCAAACAAGCAACAGTCAGCCTCAGTGAGCCCCCAGCCCCTGCACCTCTTGCTAAGTGGCGCCAGGCTGGGCAGTAGTAGCAGCCCGCCTAGGTTCAAGTGTGGCTTCACATGGGACTCTCCAAGCCCCGCACAAGTAGCAGCCATCTCAGATGGCTTTATAGCTCAGGCAGGGTGGCCCTAGGAAGAACAGAGATGGGAACTGAACTTGGTCTGCACCACCCAGGAAACCCCAGAGCCTGCGCACCCAGTGGACGGCTACAGACCACTTCGGAGCCCCACCACCCCGCCCCTGCACAGCTGATCTTCACAGACGGCGGAGCCTGATGGTCAGTGGTCACAGCCAAACCTTGCAGCTGACTGGCCTGGGGAAATCCCTCCCTTGACCTGTTAACAGCATTTAGGGCTCAACGACAAGAGGAGGGTGCACTCAGCCCACACAAAGGGTACATGTTGAGTACCCAGCTTGGGTGATAGGGGAGGCTGTGCCACTGGACCCTGCGGGACACCTACTACATTAGGCCACACAACTGAGACAGGAGTCACAGCAGCTCTGCCTAATACATAGAAACAAACACAGGGAGGCTGCCAAAATGAGGAGACAAAGAAACATGGCCCAAGTGAAAAAACAGATCAGAACTCCAGAACAGCTAAACAAAATGGAGATAAGCAATCCATCAGAGGCAGAGTTCAAAACACTGGTTATAAGGATGCTCAAGGAACTTAGTGAGGACCTCAATAGCATCAAAAAGATCCGGTCAGAAATGAAGGATACACTAATTAAAATAAACTACAATTTACAGGGAAACAAAAATAGAATGAATAAAGATGAGAATCAAATCAATGATTTGGTACATAGGAAGAAAAAAAACAAGCCATCAGAAAAAGAAGAAGAAAAAAGAACCCAAGAAAATGAGGACAGGGTAGGCAGCCTCTGGGACAACTTCAAGAAGTCCAACATTTGCATCACAGAGGTGCCAGAAGGAGAAGAGAAAGAGCAAGAAACTGAAAATCTATTTGAAAAAATAAGGAAAGAAAATTTCCCTAATTTGGTGAAGGAAATAGACATGCAAGTCCAGGAAGCACAGAGAGCCCCACACCAGATGGATACAAAGAGGACTACTCTAAAACACATCATAATTAAAATGCCAAAGGTTAAAAATAGAGAATCTTAAAAGTAGCAAGAAAAAAGCAGTTAGTTACTTACAGGGGAGTTCCCATAAGGCTGTCAGCTGATTTCTCAAAAGAAACTTTGCAGGCTAGAAGGGATTAGCAAGAAATATTCAAAGTCATGAAAAGCGGGGACCTACAGCCAAGACTGTTCTACCCAGCAAAGCTATAATTTAGAATTTAAGGGCAGATAAAGACCTTCCTAGACAAGAAAAAAACTAAAGGAGTTCATTATCATCAAACCATTATTATATGAAATGCTAAATGGACTTATTTAAGAAAAAGATCAAAATTATGAACAATAAAATGGCAATAAATACATATCTATCATCAACTGAATATAAAAAAACTAAGCAAACTAGAAGAACAGAGACCGAATCATGGATACAGAGAGCACTGAGATGGGAGGGGAGTGTGGAGAAATGGGTAAAGAGGTAAGGAAATTAAGAAGTACAAATAGGTAATTACCGAATAGCCACGGGGAAATAAGATACAGTATAGGAAACGGAGTAGCCAAAGAACTTATACGCATGACCCATGGGCATGAACAATGGTGTGGGGATTGCCTGAGGGAGAGGGGGTGCTGGGTGGAAGGGGGACAAGGGGAAAAATTGGAACAACTGTAATAGCATAATCAATAAAATATAATTTAAAAATGAACATATTCTTCAATCTAGCAATTTATCCTAAAATATACTTGCATATATAATACAGAAAGACATATTCAAGGATATTTACTCAAGTATTGTTTATAATAGCAAATATATGTAGCAACAGGAAGCTGGTTAAATAAATTATGGCTCCTCAGCAGAGTGCTACATATGTATTAAAGAAAACAAAATAGAAATACTGTGCTGATATAGAGACAACCTATGTTAGTTTAAAAAACCAAAGGCATTATACAATATATATGTTACTTCCCTGTTTTATTTATATTTTAAAAAAACAATTATACATATATATGGTGATTTTTGTCTGGAAATTAGTACCAGAGATATGAGATTAAAGAGAGACTAGCTTTTCACTGTATAACCTTTTGTACTATTTAACATTTTAACATGTGTAAAGTAAGTATTGCTTTAAATCATAAAATAGCTTCCTTAAAGGTGAGAAATTCTTTGCCAGTATGATGCCTTACTGAACCACTTAAAAAAAGTATGTTAACACAAACATGAATAACTTTTAAAAGTTGCTCTGTCCTAGGGGACAGATGGTTCTTAACCTGAAGCTGGTTAAGGTTTTTTGTTGTTTTTTTTTAATCTTCTAGGAAACTTAGAAGTACCCTACTGCCTCATGCTCTTCTCACACGGCGTCAGTAGACAGTCCTAATGAAAAGGAGTAACATAAGGAGTCACACAACTTTAACCTAGTTCAGTGACTCTTCACTTTTTCTGGGGCGGCGGGGGGGGGGGGGGGAGTAATAAATACCCCATATACCATTATAACCTTATATTCTTCACATTTTGAGGAATGTGAAAAAATATTTTGAACATTCTCTTAAGTGCAGATACACAAATTTTTACATTAAAAATTGGGGGTTACTTACAAACCAAATCCCCCTGCTACAAAAATCTAAAATCTGGTCCTTGCTTATTCTGTCTTCCACCATTCTGCCCCCTAATTTCACATTCTGACCACACCAAGCTCATTCTCACCTGTTTACCTTTACTCTTACTTACTATTTGGTAATAAAGCAAAATATTTTAAGTGTGCTGACTTTCTTATTGGTCACACTGTGAGACATAAAGCACATAGATCCCTACCTGGCTCAGGGCAAGAATGCAACACTGATGTTGCATAAGAATGAAAAAGTCAAATGCAAGGGAAATACATAAGTTATATTCTAATTCTTATGAATATTCACCTTATTGGAAGATACTGTTTTATAATTCTATTTTAAACCTAAAAGTTACATAAATATGAGGTATGTTTATTAGGATGCCATTGAATTAAAATATATAAAGGGCAAAAGATTTTAGTAACTATTAATGCCATTAAGATTTAACTAAAGAAAACAAAAGGCTAGGAAGACTTCCTGTAATATTCCTACATTCTTATTATTAGGAATATCACATTCCTATTACTAAAGATATTACAAACCAACCCAAACCAAGTCCTCTGAATTGGGATTAAAATAAGACTAATTTCCTTTGGTTAGAACTTGGATCTCAGGCAATTCACCCTACATTTAGAAGTGGTTTATATTCTACATCAAAGACAGGCCATATGACTAAGCAGGTGTTACAGCCAGCACAGGACATTTTTTTCTATAACCTTCACCTTTCTAAGAGTTCCAGTTTGAAATCAGATGTACCTTGTACTAAAGACAACCAAATTGCAAGACAAATTGAGTCTCACGTCTTCATCAACTTGTAAAACTTCCTTAAGAACACCTCCTCACCCTTATTTAAGTCTTCTAGGATAGAATGCATGGAGGAGGAGGACTGCGGACAGTCCTAAGAACAGAAACATACATGATCACCCAGTGTATGTAGCAAATCATGTTCCACAATGGGAAGGGGACTGAGATGATAACGCGACAACTCGGAGACCGCTGCTATGCAACACAACCCCTCACCTTAAGTCCTGTGGAAGAAGTTTTGGAAATGCAAAAATGGGACAGCTATTCCCCTGGGCACACAGGCTCCACGTATCTTCCAACCCCTTTTGCCACTGAGCCACGTGCCTGCATGTCAGCAGATGGACAGCACTCCTCAGCCTGGCTCAGAGACCTCCCACACGGGACCTGCCCGCTCTCACACCTCCTGTGGCTTGAAGGGAAGGAGCACAGTGACCTTAGGAGCTATGTTGAATAGATGGCAGAGCTGCAGGATGGAAGGCGTCTGGCTCTGTGGCTCACCACTTGGAGGACAGCCAATTAGAACACCCACTTGGACTTTACAAGAACAAAAAATAAACTTCTACTGTGCTAAGCCACTGAGATCGGGGGTCAGGACAAGATGCTTACCCTAAGTTATTACACATTTCCTCATTTCATATTCAAAGCAAGGGCTGAGAAGGTCACATAGCAAACCAAACTTTTATTTATCTATATCAAGAATCAAAAGAATAGTAAAGGAACAGGCTATCCTATCCTTTTCTTTTCAGTGATTCCTCAGCGGTACACAGTTTAGTTATCTAGAATTTAAATCCTGCTTTCACCATTTATTAGCCACACGGCTCTGGGCAAGTCAGTTAACTTCTGAGACTCTTTATACTCAATTAATAGAGTCTCCTATTTCCAGAGTATTTTGGAGAATTTAAATAATAGACTTACCCTGGGACAAAGGAAATGCTCAGAAATGGTGTTGTGAGGAGATAAATTTTTTTTTCAATTTTATTTATTTTTAGAAAGAGGGGAAGATAGGGAGAAAGACTGGGAGAGAAATAGCAATGTATGGCTGTCTCTCTCATGAGCCCCCTACTGGGGACCTGGGCCAGCAACCCAGGCATGTGCCCTGACTGGGAATCAAACCGGCGACCCTTTGGTTTGCAGGCCAGAACTCAATCCACTGAGCCACACCAGCCAGGGCAGAGATAAAAACTATTAACATATAGAAATGTACAGCTTTCCCTCAGCCCCTAGGATTTTTTTTTTCTGAAAAATCCCTCCATTTTCTGAAGAGAAAAAGGACAAAAGATGAATGTAAAGTGAAATCAATAGTGGGAGAGAGGAGAGTGGAACATGGTAGGAGTAATAAGCAAGATGCATAGGGCTGAGTAAGTGAAGAAAAGACACTGAGTAACCAAGGTGGCAGGGACAGGATTACAGTGAGTGAGAGAAAGTTCTATACCAGAGCACAGGAAACAACAGGGCAAAATTCTAATCTAAGCCATACTTCTCCAAATGCAACATCAACAGAGGTCTCAACTATAAGGTGTGTGGCGGGGTGGGGGTGGGGGGGACACTTTACAGTATAATGGCTCTTATTCTTTATGCTCCTCTCACTACTGAAAGCCTGAAAACTAAAACTATCAAAATCACACACACACACACACACACACACACACACAGAGCAGAAGTCAAAGCCCCCTGCCTTTTGCATACATAAGTATGTTTCTCAGAGACTGATTACGTTTACCTTGATAGATCTTCAGTGCAACCTAGTGACTCATCTTTCAGCTGCGTGACCTCCATTGAAAGCTGGCAGTGTAAAAAGCATTAGGTTCAGAGTCAAGCACACTTGTGCTTATGTCCAGGTTATGGTGCTTGTTGTGTGACCTCAGCCTAATTATCTATCTTGGCTAAGCCTCAATTTCTTCTTTTACAAAAGAGGGATACTGCTACTTTCTTGCAGAATTTCTATAAGGATTATAGTCAATGTATAAAAAGTACCTAGCACAGTATATTCAAAGTAACAGGGACTAAATAACTGCTAGTTTGCATTATTATCATAAAATATAACAGAATCACAGAAGTTCAGAGGATCAAGTAATCTTACTTATCTGTTCCATTTCCCTTGTTCCACAGAAAAGAAGACTTGCACAAGGTGACAAAACTAGTCAGTGGTTTAGCCAAATCTCTTACCTTCCAGGCCAGTTTTTTTCAATTATTCCATTTTGCCCATTTTCAAAGGATGAGAATACCAGGAGATGAAAAGGGAAAAGATATGGAAAACCATTTCTAATTCTTAATCCAGTTTCCAACAAGTAACATGTTACATTGAGCAGAAAAAATGTTATGATAACTTAAAGCTGTTAATTGTAATGTTTTCAACTTATGAGATGGTTACAAAATAATTTTATGGCACGTATGACTAAATTTATCATTTCAAATAATTAGAAAAATCATTTTAGAAATGTAGTTTTTATTGGGCCTCAGGAAAATAAGATATTAACCAATCTTTTTAAATGATACTTCTCTTTTTTTCCCAAAGGTACATTTATTTGACTAAGACGAGGATTGTTTTTTAAAGACGTTACACTATTGAGTTCTTATGAATGAAGCGATATGATGTCTGAAAATTACTTCACAATAATACGGGATGAAAAGAGATAAAGGGGAACAGAGAAAACAAGACTAGACGTGCATTGATAACTATTGAATCTGGCTAATGAGAACTCAGGACTCTTGTATATATTTAAAATTTTCCACAATAAAAAGTTTTAAAAAGTAATGCTGAAAAATAGGAAATAAAAGTCCATTTTAAACTCTCCAAACTTAAGATCACAATTTGATAAGCACTATTTGTGAGTATGTAGTCATTTATTCCAAAAAATATCTGCATGAAATATGTAGTAGGTATTATGCTATGCACACAAAAAAATGAAGCAGGAAAACAAAACCACTAGTCACCTGAAAGTCTCAAGTTGTCAAACTAGCTGGATATTAGCTTACTAGATAACTAGTAATGTGGTTAGTACTATGAGAAAAAAAGCACTTGGGGAGAGGACACAAAAAGGGATTAATTATCCTTATGAAAGTAACTAGGTCTTTATAAAATTTTCCTACAGAGAATGACATTTGAAGCCTGGATTTTTCAGCCGGTGGATAGAATGTGGAGTGTGTTCAAGTATTCAATGCAGAAAGAAGTTGCATTGAGCAGAAACAAAAAGCCCTGAGAGAACATGACTTGTGCTGAGAATTGCAAGTAGCCTGCAGTGTGTCCGGTGGGCTGATGGGTTAGGGCAGAGCAGTAATAGGCTGGAAAGGTACCTTCGGTCCTATTTAAAGAATCTTACATGACAGACTAAGTAATCTGAACATAGTTAGGGGTCAGTGAAAATTTTAAAGCACAGAAGGGGCAGAACCATACTTTACCTGTGTTTTAGAAATACTAGTCTGTTGGTGGTATGGATGGCAGCCTGGAGAGTGAATGGTGGGGCACAACCAATGTTCACGAAAAAGACAGGGGCCTGGGCTGGAGGAAAAGCAGCAGACACTGAAAGGGGGGGCAAGGACTTCAGAAACGGCACTGACTGGATTTGAGGAGAGGGGAGAACCAAGAGACTCAAATGTATGAGCAAGGTTTGGGGGAAAACAGTTTTTTCTCTAGAGCATGAACTCAAGGTAAACCGTGAAACCATTAAGCAATGCAAGGAACACAGACAGAAAAACTGAAGACAATAAATTCAGTTTTAAATGCACTAAATTTGAAAAGCTATGACCATTGTATCTACGAGGTAATCTCAGAATGCGACTTGCGCTCGGGAGAGAAGACTGCTACAGGAAGGAGCCGGGGAGGCGTCCGCACGTGCGCTGGAAGCGCTGCCCGGAAAGAGCTTACAGGGTGAACTCCGGTTAGACCTTTCATGGACAAACCTCCAGCGGACGGGTTTTGTACATCGTCTTCATTTCTTTACTATAATTTAAAATAGTCATTTAAAAAACATGTAGTACCAAAAACATTTCTCACTTTCTTTTTTCTCTTTACAAATCTAGGGTGGTGGGCTAAATAATAACCAAATACTGACCACAGCTAGGCTGAAGCTTTAGTCTAAGAAGTCAAGGCATCTAGACCAAATCCATGAGTGAAGCAGAAACTAAGCCAACCACCATGACTCCACCAGGCTCCCTCTTGTGTACCAGAGGCCTTAGATACGCCGAAAGGAGATAATGAAAAGTCACGTTACTTAAAAAATTTCACAAAAGTTGATAAGCAACATCCCAAGTTACTCACCAGGCCTTTGATCCTGTTCCAGTACACAAATTGAGCCCTGAACTCTTCTGTTTTTCCCATGGACCATCATCAACTGAAATCTCATAGTAGGAAGCCCTATGAATTGAGAATACAAAACTGGATTTGCTGGACTTAAGGCTCACAGTGAATAAGACAAACACAGTCTTTTTCAGAACTGATGAAAATCTAAGTAGGCCAGCCTGACTTAGACATACCTTAGTAGGCACACACATCATGATGCTAATTCTAATATTAAGTGAAAAAGTTAAAACAAAAAAAATCTGCATGTCTGCAGCCTTCTCTCATCTATATGCTCCTTTCTATCAATACTTTACCTTTTCAAATGGGCTTCTTCTAAATTTTTACCTAGAATTGCTGCTGCTGCTTTTATTAAGCAATGCAAGGAACACAGGCAGAAAAACTGTAAACAGTAAATCCAGTTTCAAATGCACTAAATTTGAAAAGCTATGACCACTGTATCTACGAGGTAATCTCAGAATGCGACTTGCGCTCGGGAGAGACGACTGCTACAGGAAGGAGCCGGGGAGGCATCCGCACGTGCGCTGGAAGCGCTGTTTTATGGGCTCTAAAATATACAGAGCCTTACTTCAGAATTCAAAAAGAAAACACAATTCTTCAAAGAATTCATTGGTAGCTAGTCCTTGATATATTTAAGTCTGTATATAATCCTTCAAGTTACCAAGAGTTTCCACTAAATTTTTGTTGAGTTATATACTATTGTACCTTTTGAATTGATAGTAAACTAACGTTCTAAAGAAAAATTTCTACCCGTACTGAACTAGTGGACAAAACAAGAGATAAAACTAAAACTGTAATTTCTTTAAGGATTTATATTTCTTAGAGTATTTCGTAAAATGAAATCAAATGGTTTTCTGACACCAGCAAAATATGACACTACTCTTTAATTGCATGAAAGAATAAGTGATTTGCAACTATTTGAAGAACTTTTCAAACATGTAAATGCCTATTTTGTAATTGCATCTTAAAATAATGGTGTCACTAATAACAGTAGGTTATTTTTCTCTAGCAAATAAATAAGTTAAAATAAACCCTTAATAAAATAAGACTTTTCGGAATAATGAATTATTAGACATACTTGCAAACACTAACACTTAATGGACAATTTAACTCTTATTCTAACCCTTTCAATTTCTCCTGCCAACCTCTTAATCTGTGAAGGTTTTACATGATTCAACTTTTCATTTTTTTTCTCTGAACTCAGCATTCTTCATAAAAGTAAAAAATAGCAGGCTTGATATTCCCATTAATCTATTTCATAGCTTTATTATGTCTTCTTAGAAAATTATGAATTTTAGTCACATTAGGAGCTGGTTAAATGATTGGAACGGCTGCTATTATGCCAGAATCATATAAAAACAAGAGAGTAGAGATAAGTGGAAATAAAGCAGAGGTGGACAGAACAAAAAGTCACAATCAGGTGAGAGATGTTGAGACCAAAACAGTGAGCAAATTTAGTGTCATTCTCTCATGCAGTTCTACCAAGATTAGTTAACTCAGAATTTTTGTTTCAGGGAAATTATTTTTTTAAGGCAGCAATAAAACTCACAGTCCCTTTAGAGTGGGTATAGTTCTTCTTAAAGTGTCCACTGCCACAGCCCAAGAATAAGACATTCTAGGTTAGAACAAATAGGAGAAAAGAAAAAAAAATTGGGCTTTTAAAATGTTCTTAAATCTAAGAACATTATAAATGAGGCAGGAATAATATTGCTGCACTTACTATTTTCCAACCAAAGCACCTACGTTCTCAGGGCCTAGTAAAGCCTAACACAGAATCTGGAATCAGAAATCCTAGCTTTGTTTGACAGTTCTGATGCTAACTAATTATATGAGCTTAGGCAAGCTGTTTGAACTCTCCAAATCTCAATTTTTTCACTGGTAAATACAACCACCTTTCTCACAGGGTTGCTGTGAGCATCAATGTGGTAACACCCACAACACACACAGTGCCTGACAGAGCAGGCATCTAGTACGGGTTCATCATTTCCTTTCGGCCTAAGGGTCTGTCACAGAATCTTTTTTCAAAAAAAGTTCTAATATCATCAACAGCAAAACCTCTTTCAATAGCATCAGAAGACTACCCACTGCTGCCCTTATCTTAGTAAAGATATAAGGTGAGGCATCAGAGAGCACAAGGAGAAGCAGCAGCAGATATTATTTAGGAGATAAACCAACCAAATCACTACTGCCACAGAAAATAAAAGCATTCAATCTAAAAACTCCAACTGAACGCCACACATCTACCAATTTATCCCAGTCTTCCTCCTTTATAAGTTATTTAATTTTTTGGTAAGTACAAATTATAAAGCAATGGTAGCAGAAGCTCTCCTTTAAAATACACAAACAGAATACTATAAGCCATTAAATGGTTTCCCTAGAATAAAAGCATAAACTCATAAAAGATTTCTACCTTTGTCATCTATTTATTTTAATAAACTTTCTCCAATCACATTTAAAGTTGTTACTCTCTTCTGTCTTGTCTTTAGCAATAAAAACTAGATTATATTACTAATTAGTTGTATTTTCTTCCTTCTATCACAGAAACGTATCCATTATTCATTTCCACACTGCTTCATACTTGATATACAAGCAAGAGTGAAAACTTTATATATAGTCTGTCTTACTAATAAAGATATATTTTTACACTTCAAGTTCTTTAAAGAATACATTTTTATTTCTTTGAAGAATAATTTATTTTTAATAACTTTTAAGCTATACATTTTACCACTACCCTCCAAAAAACTCAGATACCATTATCTTTACCTCATTCATCTTTATATTCCCAGAGGCTCCCATATTACACACAGCAGTACACAATATATTTTTATTGAGTAAGTTTAAAATTACATTAATCAAAATCATCACAACTACTCAAAAAAGCTGTTCAAGGCATTCTGTTTAATCAGGCTTTTTTCTTTTCAGTACTACCTAAGTTAAGTCATTGGCTAAGACATGGATATCTTTTTAAATTAAGACAAATTTTTCTCACCATAATTAAACTTCTTATGAAAAGACATGATTTAAAACAAGCAGAATTTTAGAATAGAATGGAACCCTCCTCAGTAAACTGCAGTGCCTTCAAAATGTCACATGGTTCTGGGAGCAGGAAAGTGAGACATGAACTCACCTCTAATTTTCAACCCCTCATTTACTTACACATACAAAAAGGACAAGGCAAGTTCTAAAGTACCACCAGGAGTTAAATTAACTTTAAATTATGGCAGTCATTTTATAACTGGTAACAAACACACATACCAAAAAAAGATTTGCAAAAAAAAAAAAAAAAAGAAAATTCTGCTGACAATTTTAAGCCTAAATTGTAATCAACACCCACAAAACAGATATCTATAATAAAACATATACTATATATTTATACTCTTAAGAACTTTATTAACCTTAACTATTTACTATTGGTTACAAATCTTAAACTGTCAATACATTTGCCTTATGATATGGCACTAAGAAGGATACAATTATCACTTACGTGTATTCCTGCCAAAAATGTTTAGTCTGAATCTAATCATGCAGAGAAAAAAAAAAAATCACATAAATCTAAAATAAGGGATATGTTACTCTGCAAACTGGCTTAGAGCATTCAAAATATTACTAACATGAAAGACAAACCGGGGGTGCAGCTAAGGGCCTTTCTTAATTCTAAAGGGCCATGATGGCCAAATACAACGTGTGGTCCCTAACCACACCCTGATAAAAACAAGAAAACAAAGAAGTCCGCTTTAAAGGACAGTAAGATGATTGGGTAAGTTTTAATATAACTGTCTAAAAAGTTTTATATCAACTGCAAATGTATTCCTAGTGAGTACAGCGTTCCCTTAAACATGTCTGTGATAAATGTAAAGGCACCTATATGACAGAGGAAAGGTTCCAGGCATTACTAAAGTGAAGAAATCTAGATAACGTTGTTCAGCCCAGGTTTTCACAAGCTTTTTGGGTCACAGAGCCTTCTTTCCTCTTACTATGAATTAATGTGAATGAAGCTTTCAGAAATATTTCATTAAAAGTTTCATTTCCATTAGTTACACAGTGTTAAGTATTCACAAATCTTAGGTTGTAGAAATTCAATAAATATCTAAACAACACTAAGACATTACATCCTGGCCTCAAGATCACAGGTTTAAGTGTACCTGGATGACAGACTCTCCCCAATGAAGACTTCATTTAGTGCTCTCACTGGCAAAAGCTGGGGTCCTGAAACCTCAGGCCCTGCAGGTAATAAAGAAAAAAAAACAAGACAGCTCTTAAATTTTAGCAATGTTATAATATAAATTTTATAAAACATTAAAATATTCATATTTTGTTGTAATAGAATCTATACATCAACATTAACATATAAATTAAATACTTCAAGTATTCATAATAGAAACCTCAAAGTCATCTAACATTAGAGCTGCAATGAAGCCTCTGTCTCTCCAAAAATAAACCTTAATTCCTGCCACATCTCCTTTCATGACTCCTAGAAGATAGGTCCTTTTCCTTCACTCTGTAAGGCTGGACGCGCAACTTAAACAATCTTCTTGGGCGATCACTTAAACATCACTCTGTCCCAAAAAATCCTCCAAAGGATTCCCACTGCTTTCTGGATCCAACTTGTGACTGTCACCTCAAATGGTTTCTTTCACTTTTTACCTTTTGTCAGTCTCCAACTGGAAATGCCAACCCCATCTTCTGAATGTCTCCAATAGGAGACTCACTGCACCTAAGAATCTCCCGCTGGGCAAGTACTATGGGACCAGTCCCCTCTTCTGTCTCCCAAGTCAAAGCCTCAAAGCCCATCCAACTGCGGTAGCTAGCCTCCGGGATGGTCCCAGTGACCCCTGCCTCCTGGCTCACATTCTTGCCCAACTCTCCCTCTCACATTCTAGAATTGGCCTGTGTGACTGATGCATGGCAGAAATGATACATCACTTCAGAGATTTAGCTAAACAAGGCACCCTGGCTTCTGCCTCAGTAGATCCCCCTCAAAGAGCACTTAGTCTGGAGAAGGTATTTTGTAAGCAGTCCAGTGGAGGCCAACATGGTGGGGAACAGAAGCGTCCTGCCAATACTCACGTGATGAGCTGGGATACACATCTTAAGTCCCAGTCATTCTTCTGCTGTGCCAAATCACAGCTTGCCTGTCACCTCCTGAGAGACCCTAAACTATTACAAACAAGCTAAATTTGGGGGTAATTTGTTATGCAGCAATAGATATCTAAAAGACATTAAATAAGACTCAATATTATATACTAGTAAAACTTCTCAGCATTGCACCAATACAACCCCTGATCTCATCTGACCTGCTAGCTGGATTATTATACTCTTCTGTTTATGTGTCTATTAAACATTAATTACATGTATTTCATTTCTTTTGACTTATAATTGCCTAAGGGGGACCCAATATCCCTATTCTTCAAATATGACAATTTATTATTACAATGTCAAGTTCCCTTTGAAAACTTGTTATCTGAGTGAATCATATGAGTATAATGGGTTAACATTATCAGCTCAATCATATAGTATAGTAGGAAGAACCTGACACAGAAAGGTATTCAGAAACTTGATGTGTTTAAGCAAAGTCTGATTGCACTTAAGGCTGTGAAAGCTGCTAACTTTTGAAACTCTCTTAGTTTGGTACTATTCTCATACCTGATAGATTTTCAATATAAATGTAAAAAGGTAAAAATTTATTGTTTATTTTTTACATAAGGTAATTACTAATTGAATTTGTTTTACATCTCCACGCAGATTTTCTACAAATGGTCAACTAACAGTAGATACTCACCAAATATTACTAACTAATAAATCTGAATTTTCACCATCAAACTGTAACCATGTTTTTCTTTTATATGGTCATGACTTTCATGTACAACCATTTTTCCTCATCCTAATTTTCCTTTCCATATTGCATTTTTATCTGTACTTGCTGAATTTCACCTGAAATCCTTTGTCAAAGGAGGAAGAGAATAAGTAAAATCACTTCAAGTCTCATTAATCATCTTAATTCTGCGTATATGTTCTTCCATGCTAATTGAGTACCAAACATTACCTAATCACAAAAATGTTCATTTGAAACTTGCTTCAACAGGATGTTAAAAAAAAAAAAAAATGGACTCAGTTACCCTTTCCTGCTCCCAAATCCCTTCCCTCTGGTTACCACCATACTCTTGTCTGTGTCTATGACTTTGTTTGTTTTTCTCCTTTATTCATTTGTTGCTTTCAGTTTTACATCCCACATATGAGAGAAATCATATGGTTAATCTTTTCTGACTTATTTTGGGAATGAAATATTGGTGACAGAAGATGATCTGATTTGGGGTTGTGGGCACACAACACAATCATGTATCATTAAAATGTACACTTGAAACCTATATAATTTTATTAACCAATATCACCCCAATAAATTTATTTAAAAAATGAACTTGATATCAATTAATATTCTTCTATCCAAAATAAGAGGTTAAAAAAATTAATTAAAATTTATATTTTAAAATATAGAATTGATATACTGTATTAGAGACAGAGACTGCTACACTGTGCAATTTTCTCACCTGGTCAGGCTGCTAGATCATGTTTCCAGATCTATTCACATTGGGATCATTCGGTATACTCATGGGAGTACACACTAACAGTCTATGAAATATGAGCAAAGTAATGAAAAGGCCTGGCTCCTAAAACTTCCCTTAAGGTTCTCCATGCTTCCATTGTGTTCCTCTACCCATAAACCACAGAAGATCCAACAGAAAAAGACTTTGAGGCCTTAGAAGGTGGGAGGAGCCACTGTTTGGAAGTTGCCTGAACACCCCCTGAACAGTGAGATGAGCTGAAATAAACTTTATGTTAAGCCACTGAAATTCTGTAAATGTTTATCAAATCCATTCACTTATCCAAATTAAAACAACCAGACTTGGAACTAAGAAAGTTACTAGTTTATGTGATAAAAAAAATTGTTTTTAAATAATAAACAAACTAATCCTACATTCCTTTGAAGGTAATAAAAATGAATTCTTCATTAACTTGCACACAAATACACCCTAGCTAAGGACAGGTAACACTACATACAATAAAAATTTTAACATTACATCATCCCTTTTTTAAACTGATAATTTAAAAAAAAAAATTTTCTCCCTGTAGTGTTTTGTTCTAAATTAGAAAGCTAAATGAGGGATCAAATATGGTAATATATTTGTAATCTCAAACCTAGTCATATATTAAAAAATCCCAGTGTCAGCTTACTAGGAAATGTTTCATGCCAACTCGAAGAGAATTTAAATAGGAAATATGAGATATACCTTGAAATCTTCCTCAATTTGTCTCAGAAAATAAAGCTACCAAAAAGTCAAAACTAGTTCCGAGACATGGTAAATACCATATAATTGTTCATAGGATCAGCCTTATTAATAACGGCATCAATAAGTATGGCAATTCCCAGTATTAATAGTAAAAATCGGAAACGATTCTGACCGCAGAGTCTTCCTCTATCAAACCCACTCCAGTCATCCCAGCCACCACCACCACTCGCACCTCCTCTCTGGGAAGAGGCCGGAGTCTGTGTGACCCCTGGCCCCGACACACCTTGCGTCGGACGTTTTACCATAATCATGCTACGTGGTTTGGCCTCCTCTCAACTCAAAGACTGGTGCCTAAGTTGTGAGAAATTCTTGTTTTATTTATTTTTTTAATTTTGAGCGTTTTCTCTGCTCTTTTTCTAGAACTACCATAAATCAGATGGGAACACTACCTGGGTATTTTCTCAATATATAAATAATTTTGTACACACACACACACACACACACACACACACACACCCCCCCCCCCCCTTTGTATTACCTTAGTTTGTAGGCTGAAAGCAATGAATCTGCAATAAAAGCCTGAACAATGAATCTCTGAATACCAACCTACGTCTTCCCTGTATGATTGTTGGGAAAAAGAACCAAATTCTGAACGTCTTCTGAACAACTTTTGGTGTGGAATAAAATAAAACTTCTACGATTTTTAAATCTTACTGAATAGTTACTGCAGTGTTTCAAAAAATCAGTAATAGGAATTAATATATATGTAATTACTTAAACTATTTCTAAAATCAAATAATTTTTTATCAGGGAAAGAAGAAACATCTTTAAAACACAACATGAACACACACAGCTCAGGAACACTCTGACCTATATAGAGCTATAAATCACAATGAAAGACTCTGAAAAAAAATATAAACATCAAGTACCACAAGACGGAAACAGAGACAGAAAGCAGATCTATAAAGGTAGCTTTTCCTGATAAGTTTAGCCAAGAAATGAAACATAGCAGAAAAAAATGAATCTATAACCATTATGAAATCTTCCACTTACTAGTCAATTTTATTTCTACTGCTTTCTTTTTCCCTTTTGACATTTCAAAGATTAAGGCCAAGTACCTCTCCTTATACCATCTATCCCCTTGGACAGTTTATAATCCATCTCTAATCAACTAGCTTTCATACCCATCCTAGGAAACTTTTCTTCTAGAAATATGCTATATTTCTTACTTCGGTGTCTAATAAGTTTTACACCTGCAGTAGTTTGCTGTACTTTCTTAGGTGCTGTCGATGGCACCAAAATTCCCACATAAATTAATTATAAAGTATTACTTTTAGAAATTAGAGATCAAAAGAATTGTAAGTTAAATATTGCCCCAAACACATCTAATTCCCAATCCACCTACTTTCATCATGAACTCTTTCAATATTGAAGGCTCTACTATGTTGATTCAAACTTAGCTGCTGCTCATGAAGATCCACAGGAACAGGGTTTATGCCAGTCCCTTCAAGGTATAACCTGATCCGCTGCCTCCACAACCACCTTAGAAGAGTGAATGGAAAGCAAGTTATGTTGACAGAATAAATTAAGAATTAGACATTATAATTTTACCAAATTAAAAATTCTTAAGAAAACTAGTTATTCTAGGAACAAATCATACTAGTAACACCTACAAAGCACAGGTTCCTGTGTTAAAGATAGATTTAGAAATTTATTTCTGTGTTCAGTTATAATGGAAATATCTAATGTACGTATACAAAATCTCCCAATAATTTGAATTCAAGTCATATTCTTTATCAAGTATCCATTAAATCCAAGATGCTGAGCTAGCTATAATTGTGTTGTGCTCATCAAAAAGGGTAAGATGTACACACCCAAAAAAAGGATTCTGAAATTGAAATAATATTGTGTTAAGGTGGTCAGATTAGATAAAACTCCTTCACCTAAAACGTAAATGGCATTTTTGGTAAAAATAAGAAAAGAACCAGGTTTAATTGATTTCAAAACCAAAACCTGATATATCAAAAGGCCCCTGGGACAGAGTCTGCCAGACAATTAATACAAAAATACACTCCCACTTGGTAGCTATAGTCATTTGTAGAGGTGCCAAACTCCTCAAATGACTAGAAATCAGAATCATTATTAATGATTCCAGGAGTCAAAAAGATACGTTCCAATTATCAAATACCCAAAGAAAAAGCTTTCTCAAGCTATACATTCTAGTCCAAGTCAGCAATTCAAAAGAGCACCATGTGGCTCTCTCTAATACAGTTGGCCCACCCAGTCTCCACTGTTCCCTTACCCTCTCTTCTCAAGGCATTCTGGTCACTGAACAGACTCACTGAAGGAAATATGGGAAAACCCATCCCTGCTACTTAGGAAACACTTAACATGTGAGACAGCACTCTACCAAGGATCTCAGCAGGGCTGGAGTAAATCTAACCCTCTGCCATTCTGGATGGGAGAAGATGAGGATAAGAAACAAAATCTCAGCAAATTTGAACACTCAGTTTTAGTAAATAGTTTTAACTATCTTTCTGCCAAACTGCTATGAACATATAACAAGATTAAGAAAGTAGAGACATGGCTTCTATCTTACTGAAGGAGGAAAATCGTCTACTTGTAATTACATTATAGGCCAGGTGGTATCTGTCAGGATTTCTCTACACAGTTCGAATGGACTAGAAGGTAAGTTAGATGTGTTTATACTTAGCTAACATATTACTTTTTATAACTCTGTTTGTTATAACTGTGGACTAAACCAAATCTTATCTAATTCTATTTAACAGCATTTGAATGGCACACACTTATTAACAATATTAAGAAATTCCTACCTGAACTCACCACGATAGAACTTCTGTAAGGCTTCTGGGAAGGAATGTGTATATCGAACAGGAAGACATAAATGACCCTCAGACCTTTGTTTTAAAAGGGATTTGGGATGGTATAATGGGAGAAAGAAGAAAATAAACATAATTTAAAAATCACAAATGAATTTTTTAAATTTCTACTCTATACTTAACTTTTTGTCACAAAATTTTATTTTCAACAAGGAAAAAAAAGACCAAATATGTAATTTAAATCCAGCTTTACTACCATAATACATACTACTACTTAGTTTCCACATTACAGTGAAACTGAAAAGAACAGCAGCTCTGCAATGATTGTCTGTCCTGCAAAATTATCTAACAGTACAATGCTGTTTCCATCTATTTAAATTATTCCTTTAAATTATTTAACTGTTAACTTAGGGCAAGTCACTTTAGTATCAGCTCCTTTATCTCCATGCTATTAAAAAAAACAAAAACCACCAATCTCAAAAGCTTATGCTGAGGAATCAAACTATTTTTATGTGAAAGTGTTCTGAACTCTAACTCCCTTTTAAATGTCATTTAAAATATTCCAAGTCACTAAAAGAAAACTCAGAAAGTTTAATCCAATGGAATGCCTCATTTACTCAAAACACAGAGCAGGCTGAAACTCCTTCAAGGAGTTAACAGCAAGATGTAGACAGAGGTAGGATTTTTTTTCCACTGCAAATTACAAAGTGTTAAGATTGCCTATAGGTTGCTATAGGAAGATGAAAGAATATGGCACCTAATGTGAGGGAAGGTTTCCAGGAAGCTTAACTATCATCAATCTTGAAGAACACCTGAAAATACCCTTGGCAAAACACACTCTTGGTAATAACTGTAAGTTAACTCGTAAGTGTGAAGAGCAGGAAAAAAAAGGTCTTCACAAAGTTGTGACTAGTCAATATCTTTTTCTGAGAGGGTCAACACTGAGGTTTAAAAACTTTATGTTCTCTGCAATATTCTACATCGTGCTAAGTAAATAAAAGGTATCAACAGTCACTTGATAGAACAATATCTGAGGTCCACTGCAGGTCTCAAACACCATAGAGAGAAGCAGCTCTCCTGAGGTTAGTCAAGTATCAGTTAGGGCTATAAGCATCTGAAAGCCTGACCTGGCCGGGAGGGTGCACTTCCAATGCGGCTCATTCACATGGCTGGCACACTGGTGCTGGCTGTTGGCAAGAGGCCTCAACTCCTCTCCAGTGAGCCTCTCCATGGGGCTGCTTAGGTATCTCACACCACAGCGGCAGACTTACCCCACAATGAGCAATCTAAGAAACTGCAACATGAAGCGGCAGTAACGTTGAATACCCTAGCCTTGGAATCCGCACACTGGCACACCATATTCTATTGGTCACATAGGCCAGCCCTGCCTAAATATAGAAGGGGGAACCACACAAATAGGTGTAAATACTAGGAAGCTCCTATCTTGCAAGGTGGCTACCGCATGCTCTCTATCCCATTCTGATTATTAAACATTCAAATGTCACATTTACCAGGCTCAGCAGAATGAGTGCAGAATACAGAAGAGCCAAACAGAAATTACATATTTAATTTAGATGAGTCCATATAAGGATCTACTTAGAAGTAGATCATCCAGTCCAAGTCAAGCCTTCAGATGCCAGAAGCCCAAGCTGACATCTGACTATAAACTCATGAGAGACCCCAAGCCAATCCCACCCAGCCAAGCTGCTCCTGAATTCCCGACACATAGAAACCATGAGAGATAATCAGCAATCATTACTGTTTTAAGCGTCTAAGTTTTGGTGTAATTTGTTATGCAGCATTTGACACCTAATACAGAGGAGAAGAAATTTAAGCTGAATGTTTACTTCTGGGCTTATTTAAGGATTGTGAGAGACCATAGTGCTTAAGAAATCAGGCAATCTGAATCACTCAGCAAGCTAGGAAGCTTAACCCATTTCTGCCTGAATGCAAGAAGAGGAACCAAAGGACTTCTCAAAGCTATTATTCCAGGTATAAATTAGACAGGCAACACAGTCTACTTACTGCTTCAAAATCCCCACAGCTTATGAATATTAAGTCATGTTTTTAAAGGAAAATATATTTTAATAAACTATAAGAAATATCTAGAATCTCTTAATGATATAAAAATATGCACCAACAATGAAGGCAATCAAAAATAATTACTGAACCAATAACCTCAATTACTTATACTTAGGGGATATTAACTCAGCTAGGTTGGGGTCCTAGCTCTGCTCAAGATCATTTAATTAATCATTCATTCCAAATGTTTACTGCCTACTGACTAGTACTACAATAGTAATTGAAAAATTAAAACACAAAGTCCAATACTCAGGGAATTTAGTCAAATGGAAGAGAGAATCAAGCAGAAAATAATATGATGGGATAAGTACTCTCTGTACAGGGACTTACAGTCAGAGCCCAGGAGAGGCACCAGTCTGGAATGATTAAGAACTATTCAAAAGAGAAAGTGGTATAAAGGCACTCCAGGCAAAAGCACATACAAAGGCATGAAAAGAACATGGCCTTGTGGAGGACTCTCTATTACTCTTTCCAGTCCTGCTATCTTTAATATCATCAGCAAAGCTCCCTCACCAGCAAAAGCCTCCACGTGTGAGCCTCCATCCACGGTGTTAGCATATGCTCACACATTACATTTGCACTAAAGAACAGCCTTTAGGGCGGAGGGTGGGGGACTTAGACAAAGGTGGTCCAAAGTACAAACTTCTAGTTGTAAGTACTGGGGATATAAGGTAAAACATGATGACTACAGTTAACACTGCTATATGGTATGTTTGAAAGCTATCAGGAAAGTAAATCCTAAGAATTCTTCTAACAAAGGGGAAAATTTTTTTTTAATTTTTTTCCTGTGTCTATGAGATGATAGTTGTTAATTAAACTTATTGTGGTAATCATCTCACTACACACGTAAGTCAATATGCTGTATACCTTAAACATATACAGTACTATATGTCAATTATACACAATAAAACTGGGAAAAATACAATTCAAAAAAAGAACAGTTTTTAGGGAGGATTGTAGGCTGTCCCTAGAGGGGCCTCAGTACTATTTTTTTAACTGAAGAATGTATAGTGCCTATGTGGAAATGAGGATAGCTGAAACTACATAGGCAAAAGCAGATAGCGAAAGATCCTATGTATTGTGCTAAGAAATGTGCAATGTACCCAGAAGGTCATGGATTGTGGTTAAAAGATTTTACTTGAGGAGTGGACACAATCAGATCTGTACTTTGGAAAGACCAGGAAAGCAAAGTATAACGGAAGGGTTGAAAAGAATGAGACTGGAAGCTATTATAATAAAAGCAAACTTTAAAAGCCTGAGCTATGATTCCAAGCAGCGAGAGCAGCGAGGATGGCAAGAGATGGATTCAAAGGCAGGATCCCTAGAACTTAGACCCAGACCTCTAGACCAATTTGACAAGAAAGGTGAGGGCTGGGTAATCACAGCTTCGGCACAGGTTATGATTCCATTCATCAAGTACGGTGCGGCCGGGGAAAGGAGACAGGTCCCTTTGTAGACATCGGTAATGCCACTGGATACATTTAAGTAAGGGACAGTGTGGCTAAAATAGCATGAGGAAAGGTAAAAAGAAGAGGAGATAGGGACACAGAATAATCAAGAGCCCAGTCATACATATTCTATGTCACAGTTAGGGTGACCAACTGTCTCAGTTTGCCTGGAACTGACAATTTTCCTGGGACATAGGACTTTTAGTGTAAAACTAGGAAAGTCCCTGACAAAACAAGATGAGATGGTCATCCTGGCCATGGTAAAAAATCAGATTTTATTCTGCTTTAGTTGAAGAACTACCATAAGAAGCTGGGCAGAGAGGTCACATAATAGTATCAAACTTTCATAAATTGATCACTCTGGCTACAGTAAGGAGGAGAGACTATAAATAAGGGTAAGAACAGAAGCAGAATCAATGTTGCGTATAAAGATTTTGGAGCCACCAGGACCTAAGTTAAAACCAAAGCTATTAGTCAGTTATTCTAAAGACAATATAGAGAGAAGAGGGTATTATCCTTCTTAGGGGATAATATGTGAAAACACCAGTAGGTAAGCAGTGGCCAAAAAATAAGATCCTTTCAAAGAAGTAGCCACAGAGGTAGGAAGAAAAGGGCATCATAAATGCCAAAGGAGTACAGATGCAACAAGGGAGCAGTTTGCACTAAAAATTCCCTAGAAATCAAGCAGGACAAGGATTAAATGTCCAGTGGGTTCAGTGACCAGAGTCTCACCAGTTTGTAAGGCAAAGGCAATGTCAATGAACTGGTTGGGGGCATATCCAGAGAAGATTGCAAAGGTTTAACAATAATTGTGAAGTAAGGAAATGGAGGTACCAAGCTTTGGGGGCAAGGAAAGGAAGGGAAAATAACCAAGACAGTGAGACTGGGTAAAGGACTTACTAAAATTTCTTGAAAGATAGAAGTCTTTAAGTTTTTAGCCTAAAAGGAAATCATGTGTGAAGGGAGAGAAGAAAAAAGGAAACAAATGACAGAACAAGATTTTTAAGGATGAGGAAGCTGAAGCTCTAATCCAGTGACTTCCGTTTCCTTTCTGGGAGAAGGGCACGTTGAAGGAAGAAGGGCAAAAACAGTAAGGAGGATACAGAAGCCGAAGGGCTCCCCTTGAAGGAGCTGTCACAGGGAACGGGAAAGAGAGATAACGTGGGCCAAACAGGACGTTTTCTGAGCAACTCTGAGAGTACAGTTCTGAGTGCTGGAAACTACAAATGGAAAGTAAATGTGAGCCACCAAACTGGGCCACTAAGTCCAAGCGTCTGTGATTTCCAGACGGTCTCAGCCATGCTGACACAGGAGTGGAAAGGATGACAAACTGATCTGGGAGTAAGTGGGAAGCTAACACTACAAAATATCTAAGAAATCTGTCAGTAAAGTGAATATGGGAGAATTAAGTGAAGAAAACAGGGGTTCTGCTTGGTAAAAGTCAAAGGGCAGAGTTAGTAGGATTTGGGGAATAAGACTGCCGTTAAAGTAGGAGGCTGTAGTAGTTAGAGCGGAATTAAGATCTAAGAGATGGGACAATTCTAGATGATCACCAAGCTCAGGTATGGTCATGGATATGGGTGGCTGGAACAGAATGAGAGTAACTGTCAGTGGAGCTAAGGAAAGAAGGGAAAAACAGTAACAAAATTTGTTCTATTCATTAAGTCAATGAAGTCACCAGAAATCAGTGGAGGCATAACCAGGAATATAGATGAGCGCCACAGAAAGCACAAAAATGGAACATTATTAACTCATCCCTCTTCAGCAACACCAGGGGTTGCTAACACTCACCTGGCTCAAGGGTCAGGTCTATTCTGTCTCAGGTACTACTCCCAAACTATCTGCGAAGTCAGATGTGAGGACTTGTCTGTCCCATATCAAAATTTTCTACCACTAATGCCAGTTAAATATGTATTTTTCATGTGTGAGCTATAAACAAGGGCTGTCCTTGAAAACAACTACATAGAATAAAATTCTATTAGAGGTAGAGATTGATTCCATATGCCTAAATTCCATCACTAAAATATTTTTGGAACATGGTTCTTATGTTCATGATAGCCAGGAGCAATGATGCTTCCAGTTAAATATGCACCATAGTAAACTCCTTGTAGCAATGGAGACCAGCAATGGCTTCGGTACAGGAAATTAAGAACATTAAGATTTATCATGAACAGATACTATGCAAAGCAAATCATAAATGTATGTACTGCACTAAAAAAAGGCCAAACAAACAAAAACAAAACAAAACATGTTTTTCCTTACCGTTCTGGATCAGTGTTTACTCCAATAACTGGTTTAAGTCTGTCCAACACTTTACTTGCTGCCAGAAGCATTGTGCCATCACCTAAAGGACAGACAACACAACCAGACTTGTTATACACTAGTATACACATTTGAACGCTAGTATTTTTGTTTCAACGATCAAAGCCCCGTCCCATCCTGTTGACTGTCACAGTCTACTTCACTTCCTCTCTACCCGCTACCCCTTTCGTTATCTCCGCCACGCTAATCCAAGGCTTCTCAACAGTGGCAACATTGATATTTTAGCCCTGGCCAAGTGGCTCACTTAGTTGGAGCATCGTCCCATACACACCAGAAAGGCTACGGGTTCAATCCCTGGTGAGGACTTGTATGGGAGGCAACCAATTGATGTTTCTTTCTCTCTACACGCGCCCCCCCCAATCAATAAACATATCCTTGGGTGGGGATAAAAAAAAAGATTCATATTTTAGGCAAAATAGTTCTTTGCTGTAGGGGCTGTCCTGCGCACTGGAGGATGGCTAGCAGCACCCCTGGTCTGTGCCCACGAGGTGCCCGGAGCACTCCCGTGCGAGGCGCTGCTCTAGTCCCGTCACTTCTACCAGCAGCCCCCTTACCTTCTCTCATAACATGAGTCCAAATTCACAAATCGTTTTATGACAATATGTCCTACAACATGTCCACTTTCAAATTTTTCTTTCCAACAAATGCTGTCAATTTAAAGCTTTCGAAAAAAATGTTCACTAACTTAATAATAAAACTCAAAGAAAAAAAGGAAGGGTATGAATATTGGGGCCAGAGAGAGGTGGAATTTATCTAATCTCATGAATCACTTAAACTTTAACTTGTTTTTTTTAAAGACTGGCATAACTAAACCAAAATATAGTTATAACTAATCCTTTGAATCACACTTAAAGATAAATGCACACTTTGAATAGACACACAGAAATATATGCACGGAACCTCACAGTAACATCACTCACTTAAAAAGTGAAATGCTATATAAAACAGACCCTTTTAGACCTGATTCTAAAAATGCAAAACTTTGTCTTAAGGGAGGACTCAAGGCTTCACTAGTGCTGGGCCACAGGGCACTTGAAGTGTGAGTACTACCCAGCATTTCCGGAGTCCCACATCTTTTACCTCAATAAAACTATTACCTCCCGCAGCTATGACAGCATCCGCCCATCGGACAGTCTCTTCGTCGTATTCTCTCCTCTTCACCAGGCGGACCTCAATTCCCTCATTCCTGAGATAAAAAACAAAGTAAAGGTTACGTAAAAGTTCCACTAATAACATAAAGGAGTATGTTTTCTGAAAGGCAGATTATTACAATGGAAAGGTGGAATGAACAATTTTGTTTTATAAACAAATTTCTGTTTAGCCTTTGTATGGTAAGCTTCATTTTCTTTTAATTGCAGCAGCTGGTTAACTATAAGTTAGGGAGCATGTGAATAAACTGAAAGTTAATGACTATCCCAAATCCCTTTAAAAACATCTTTTAGCTCCTGACAAGTGGCAATGCTGATTAGAATTTCATTTCATTTTCTCTACTTCTGATGTTAAAATTCATTAATACAAAAATGGCCCAGGAGACTAACACCTTGAGAGACAATGTTTTAAACTATAAAACCAAATAGCCATTATTTTAAATCAAATAAATATTCATTGAACGCCAGACACTGAAATAATGACTAAAATAATTTCTAAGTTGCATGTTTTCACACATTCTCTTGTATAAAAGTAAACATATTCACTGACTACACTCAGCCCCAAATTAACTGAAGTTTCTATAATGATAATTTTCAGACATTCAAAGAATACTATAATGAATACCCATATAATCCAGTATTCTGTTTAAGAAATAAAACACCATATATACAGTTGAAGCCAGCTGTGTACAGAAATAACCCTTCGTAGAAAAAGCACTTCTCGAACAGACCAAATAACTGAAAACGTGTGAAATTTTCGGAGTACAATAAAAATTTCCTTAGAAGCACTATATCAGGTCCATTAACCACAATACAACTTTCTGAAATTGATTTTATAATGGCAATCTTTATTAAAAATCTAATGACTGCCCTGGCTGGTGTGGCTCAATTCATTGGGCATCATCCCAAACTGAAAGGTCGCTGGCCCAGTTCGATGCCCAGTCAAAGCACACACCTGGGTCGCAGGTTCCACGTCCCAGCTCCCCCCACAACTCCCTGCCCCCTGCCCCGTCCCCCGGCCCCACTGGGCAGGGTGTCGGGGCACATGTAGAAGGCAACCAATCGAAGTTTCTCTCTCACATTAATGTTTCTCTCCCTCTCTTTCTCCCTTCCTTCCCCATCCTCTCAAAAATAAATTTTTTTTAAAAAGTCTAATGATTAGCTCCTAGCTAGGGAAAAATTAGAACTCCCCAAATACAAAAGCCCATCCAAAATCCAATCCCACAGACTTACCGTAAACTATCTAGAATATGCTCTACATTTTTGGTGTGAATACGATGTCGTTCGAGCAGTCCACTGTAGCTAGAGCCTTTCAATGCAAGCTACATCAAAATAAAATAAGTTCTGTCTTATTATATGATAAATAGTACATATAATAACATATTTCTTTAAAAAGTCTTACATAAAATAGAATGAGGTTTTTATTTGAAGGCACAGTTTAATGACTTTTTGTGAAACAAGTTTAAACTGAACTGGAAAGTGTGATATCAGAAAATTCACAATACCAAATACATCACTAAGTTTCCTGAATCATGTAGTCACCAGGATCTCAAAATTTGCATATGTTAAAGCTTCAGTGTTTTCTTTATCTTTTAAATGGATTTTTAACTTATTGCATATGGCTCCTTGAAAATCAAAGATAAACTAGTATTTTAGAAGGCAGCTGGCTTTTGTTCCACTTGGATTTGCAGCCCTTGTGTTTAGATTTATGAACTCTATTTGGTATTTACCCAACTCAAGCCATAAAAAGGGCTGGTTAGCTCCCAGAATGGGTAATTTGTAGATATAAAGACATGTTATCTTTCAAGGATTTTCTCTCCCAGTCTACTGGAATAACACTTTATATTGTCACTACCTTACCTTTAATATTCTCCTTTTAAAGTATATCTTCTAAGTAATCCATAAAGTAAAATGTTGGGAGAGAAATTAAGGAATATCCTCAATGAACATCCATTGAAATCCTAAAATAGTAAATTTATCCCCTAGAATACATACTAGAACTAGAAGCATGTTATCTTCTTTCCGTCTCCAAATTCCCTTATACCTTGCCTCTTTATGATACAAAATCAGTTTTAAGTACCTGTCTAAAATGCCATCTTAAATATATTGTTTTAAATCATTACTCACTGATTATAAAGTAAAACCAATTTTACATATTAAAAATGCTATGTATTTTACTTTTTAAAATGGTTATAAAATAACACAACATGAAAGATGCATATATAAAGAAAATTTTAATTAAATATAATCTTATGACAAGATAACTTGTATTAATTATATTTTAAAACATACCTTCCCAATCTTTTGTTTTTAAGTACTGACTTAAGAGTTTCGAAAGAAGAGCTGAAGACCCATTTGGCTATTTCAAAATTAAAACACAGATGTTAAGTCACATAGATACACTAGATCATAGCTTGTACAACAGCTTAATGCCTAGACGTAAGTCTCATATTTAGACAGAGCAAACCAATAACAAGATATTTTTTAAAGAAAAGCAGTGACTAAGGTAATAATTAGATAAATTTTCATTTGCTCATTTAATCAACAAAACATGAACCAGGTTTGGAAAACAACTCTAAGAGTAGAACTTCTGAATATGAATGAACATAGCATTAACATTCAGGTTATTTTCATTATGCATCTACAGATTAACTAAAACTGCACTACCTCCCTCTCAATGAATATGGATCGCAATGCTTTTCTTCTCTACTCTCTCCCTGGGACTCTCTAGTTTAAGGCTTTCTTTAAAATAGATCTGAATGCAGATGCTGATGTTGCCCGGTTGTTATCTCTAACCCTGGCCTAACTTTAGGACTCCAAATGAATGCACCCAACTATGTCTTAACATCTTCCTCTGGGTATCTAACAGGCCTCTCAGCCTTCCATGGTCAAGTCATGATTTTCTAGCAGATTAGTTACCACGCTATATTGTCACAATAATTACCTCTCGTGAGCCCATTTCAAGAGTGAACACTTTACACAGTTAGAAATTGAGCTCTAAAAAAATTAATTTATTCATTGAAATATGTGAGTGCCTACTAACTGTGTTCACTTAAACATTAGTTGAGTTCAATCAAATGTATTACATGGAGCACTAAAAACTGCTAAGGACACGGAGAACTAATTCAAACGTACAATAGTAAGTCAAATTTACTGCTTCTAATCCACTATAAATAAAACTTAAGGGTAGCTAGCCCCAAGACCTCAATTCCCGGTCCAGATTTTTATCTTATGTTCCAATTTTTGGTTTCGACAAGATAGAATATGTACTCAGAAATAAAAGATATAAATCTTACTGCATGGGTACTCTAAATTCTACTCTGGCGGTTCAGAAGCTTTGCTTACTTCCTTCCAGGCTCTCAGAAAAATCCAGAAAATTAAGATTCTTCAGCAGTTGAGTGTCAGGAAACTTTAGTTTAAGACCAGGAAGGGGGATCAAATTTGGGGGAAAATAATTTTGGAGAACTTACAAAAAAACTTCAAGTCTTTCCATGATTTTAATAAGTTTTCCTAGCAACACTAAAATTCCTTAAAATTCCAAATCTAAATACAAAGTTCATTTAGCATCAGAATATCTAATATTGGAGCAGAAATCTCATTTCATAAGTTCTTGTTCTCACTCAAATTTCTTGTGAACTAATTTTCTAACAACTTATGCTTCAATTAACTTAGAGAATACAAGTTATGATATTACTTTCTTTAAAGCTCTAGCTGGTTAGACTAGTACGCTTCATTCACATGGACTGGCTACATTCGGCAGATAAGAAATAAGGCATTTTTTAAAAATCACTTAAGCATCAACTACAACATCTTAAATCTATTCAGCTGGCCTCCAAATTTTTTTAAAAAAGTTTCAAAATCTGTTAAGAACATCTACTGAAAAAAAAGACTTCATTCAAAGACTTAAAAACATACTTTAATCAGAGAAAAAAAGAACTGAATTCTTTGCAAAATGTGTTATAATTAAGAGCTTAGAAAAATTACTAAAATTTAGAACAGTCTCAATTCTGCAGTATTACACCTTAGGTATTTGTAACAAAGTCTTTTTTTTTCCTCAAAAATTTTAGTACTTATCTGCATTTTAAAAAAAATTTTAAAATATGATTCACCAGGATACCAGAAAAAGCAGTATGAATCTAAAAGACCTACAGACACATTTCAGTATAAGCAATAGAGTTTCTCCTACAAAATTTCCAAAAGCCAACATCACCTCTCCCCATGTAGTTCTGATGTTTAAACACAGGTGCTTGAAAGATAAAAAAAAAGGAGGATTCAGAATGGACAGAAATTTATCCCACCTTAAGGTCTAATGTAATAGTTATGCCATTTTTTTTCCTAGTGATCCAAACACTTATTTTAATTACATTTCACCAAAATTGATTACAAATACAAATTTTAAAAATTTGACGACCTCAGTTGAGCATTACTACTTTGTACACCATGTAATTTCCATGAAAGCTCAATAAGGGAAGGAAACACATAAGAAATGCACAAACTTTTAAGACAATGAGTTTGATGTGTAAACTCACTAGTCATAATTCAGGCACTCTTAAAAGCACTTAACTAAATGCTACACTGTTACTCAAAATTGCCTTAAAAAGATTAGTGACATCTAAGTAACAGCTAGAAAGTAAACTACATTCACCTAGCATGATCAGGCCTAGTGCAATGGACCCTAAGTATTTCTTCAGATATACTTGCTATTTATCTTGGATCATTTCTGTTCCTCTTACCGGGCTCTCACCTTTACCTTTCCCATCGTTCTCATCCTACCCTCACATTCATCTTCTGAATTGTTTCCCTACTCCCTGATACGTTCATACTGCTCAAGGTTCCTCCATCTTTGGCTTTCTTAACTGCTCCTGCTTCATTTTCCTTATCTCCCCACTCCAGAGACTTGATCTACCAAGTATACACCAAATAATTATGAAATCCACGCTCTTGGTTTAAGGCTTTCTCTTGAGCTATAGGCTCAAATTTCCAAATCTGCCCACAGGTAAATCAAATACATTTCCCCAAAACTATCTGAATCTAATCATCTATCCCTCCTTCAGATTCGCCCTTCTGGGTCCCATATACCAGTTACTAGTACTTCCCTTTATCTAGTCAGCAGAGTAAATCCAGGTGTCCCCTTTATTTCTCCTCTCACACCCAGTCTCCACAGCCAGTCAGTGAAGTCCAATAATTAAAACATGTTAAAACTGTTTCTCCAATCTGCCCTCCACATTCCTGATGGTACCGCTTGCGTTCTGGGCATGGGCTCTTACCTTGTTTCATGCCAACAGCCTGCTTCTAGAATTTCTAAACTAGTTCCCTCTTTAAAAGTCTTTATTTCCCATTATCACAACGTAACTAACCACCACCGCCGGAAGCCTCCTTTCAAATCAGCCCCAGAATGCTGTCTCAGAAAAACTGACCCTTACGCCTCCCCTCCGTGGGAAAAGAGGAGCGGGGAGCAAAGGTTGTACCCTACCACTATAAAGTGAAAGTCACTACAAGATAAAACCAACTCCTTCACAGGACACTGAACACCTTTATAAGGGCCAGCCTACCTGTTTAGCCTCAATATGCCTACTCTTGAGCAATGATTTCCAAACGACCCTTATGATAGTCACCATATCAATCTAATGATCACAATCAGCATTATTATTAAAGAGAAAATAAATTGTACTACATGCAACAAGACTAAATTGTTTCATGTTATCTTTTATTTCAAATATGAGTATATATTCTCAGTCATGATATAAAATTTTTGTTTGTGGATTGCAATAAAAAATGTTTGAGTCCTTTTTGTTGGCATAAAAAATGAACTTTCCCACTGTCTTGCTAGTATTGTTCTCCCCTGTCACATATATGTTCTTTTTTATTCTTCAATATTTAAGTCAAATATCCTAAAATTAAAAGATACCATTTCACTCCATCACATTGGCAAAAATATGAAAGTCTACCAAGTGCTGATGAGAATGTGGGGAATCAGAGTCATTCAATGCTTATGGAAAATTTATTCTTCTAATTGTAGCATTTTTTAAAGAGTGGAAAAATGGGAAACTTAATTATCTAATCAGTGGGATATTATACAACAGTTAAAGTAAATTAATATATATCAACACAGAGAAGCTTCAAAACCAATAGCGAATACACGCAAATTTCTAAATAGGTACATGTTCTAAGGAATATCATATTACCAATGTAACTTTTTAAAAACACAAAACAATATTCTTTTTAAATAAATATACAACATATGCATATGAAAAGTATACATAATAACAACTTTGGACTAGTGGTTACCTCTAGGGAGACCAGGAGGGGAAAATTGGAAGGA